AGTGTCTGCTTTGACTTCAAGGTCTTTGATCCATTTGGAGTTGATTCTGGTGCAGGGTGATATATAAGGATCTAGGTTTAGTTTTCTACATGTAGTTAACCAATTAGCAAAATTAGTTTTAATCTCTGCTTTATAGACCGAGATTGACATTTTCTAAGACATAGCATATAATCAAAGAGCCAAGTTCCCCCCCCCACCCTCTCTCTCTCTTTTTCTGGGACTCGAACTTGAACTCAGGGCCTGGGTGCTATCTTTTAATATTTTTGCTGGAGGCTTGTTCTACCAATTGAGCCACAGCTCAGATAATATATTGAAAAAATTCTGTTCTCTCTAGATAGAAATACTGAAATTATATAGATATATATGAGGAAGTTTATAACAGAAGTCCTGGGCATAGACTTAGTGATAAACATAATAAACATATATGCAAACCAAAACTGTATCTTCATTTTCTGGGCATTTTATTATTTAAGAACACAAAGTACTAACATCACTAGGAGAACAAGAATCAAGAAGACCATCCAGAGTTTCAAATCTCAGAAAGAAAACACCAGTTCTATAGTGTGAAATGAGAAATAACACTTTGGGTCTATGGAGTAGGGCAGAGGGAAAGGCAGGCCTAGCTCATAGGTACACATTGGGAAATAGGTTCCTGGAGAGGAGATGCATTGCACTGCTTCTTGGACACTCTGGAAGCAAGCAGGTGAGAGGGGGCAGTTTAGAGTATGTATGGAAAGGCTGGCCATTCTTCTGAAGGAGCCATTATTTTTCCCTTTCTGATCAATGGAGTTTGCCTTTCCTTTTCTGAATTCTTATGTTTTTTTTTTTTTGGTTGGTTAGTTGTTTTTTTGTATAGTTTTGTGATTAGACTTTTCACACTTAAAAAAATTGTTTATTATTGATTTCCACACTTGTCTGCATGATAATCTAAGTCATGGCTGTCTCCCAGCTTCTGTCAGCAAACTTAGAAAATAATAGCTACTCTGTACATGTTTATTAAGTGTACCCAGAAATGATTAGAGTGCTTGATTAGGCACAATATATCAATGACAACACACCAACAATTGCCTAGGTTATCAAGCAACCCTTCATAAAATCTTAATGGTTTCATTTTTCTGTTTCAGGTTACTTGCAGCATACAATAGCCTTACCGATAAACACCTGGTTGGATATTTTAATAATGCAAGGATAAGGAGGCATCTCTTAAGATCAGGGCTGGTAAGATTTGCTTTATTTTATTCAATTTATTTCCTTAAGTCAAATAATTCCCAACCTTTCTCAGATTTCATCTTGGAGCTAGTCAGTGACATCATCTTCCTTATTCATTTTTATAAGAATTACTTCCTTTCCAAAGGCCTGACTTTTATTTGAGGCTATTTCTAAAGGTGAGAACAGAGGTCACAATGAAACATAAATTATCAAGGAAAAGTCACCATGAATTTTCTAAAACAGTTCCGTAGTTTATCCATTTATTTAAAAAAATCTGTTAAAGAACTAAAGCAGAGAAGATTTAGTCCTCAGGAAAATATATTTTTTAATAATCACAGAATGTGGTGTAGAAAACATCAACAATTCAACATTTCCCCTTGATTTTTTCAATGTTCATTTCCTGTGTTAGTTTATTAAGACATCAATGTCTTTCAAAAGTGCCCTAGCCACAAAATATCCATTCCTCTAAGTGTATACAGTGTGAAAAAGCTGCTAAACATCTTATGATTTTTCTACTTAAAGAAAGGGTGTGGGAGATGGGAAGGGATGGAAAGGGGAAACAAAGGAGGCAACTATACTTGATAAGAAATGTATTCATTACCTTGCCCATGTAATTGTAACCCCTTTGTATGGTATTTTCACAATAAAATAAATAAATAAAATGACTTTACATAAAAAAAAAGAAAAAAAAGAGAGGGTGTAGTTTAGAAAGTGTTAGTTTTTAAAAGAAAGGTGGATTTCCTTAACAATTGTTGCCTTGGTATTAAAGGAACAGACGTTGCCTTGCTAATGGTTGTTTATGTGCTTGGCACTGTAGCTTGAATAGATGTGAGAGAGTTTGCTTTTCAGTCTCCTGGGATTTTGTGCATCAGACCTGGCTCAGCCATTAATAAGAAAAGAATCATGAGTAAGTCACTTAACTTGTACAGTATCAAAGCCCTCCATTTCAAAATGAAGCTAATGATGCCCAATCTTCAGCACTGATATAAGACTGAGAAAGGTGCAACAAAATATTTTAGTTATTATTAATACTGCTTCTTTGGATAGAGTCTATAAGCTTCATGCATAAAAGGGAGGACTTTGTGTTTATCAACATTACTAACAAATACTTGTTGAGTGCTGGTTATATCTTGACCACCCAAATAAGGAAAATATACCTTTCCCTAGAGCAGTGGTTCAAATGAAAGCTGCTTAGTAGTGTTGAGTAGGGTTCAGCATCACCTGGGAACTTGTTAGAAAATGCAAATACAGAGCACTATTCTGAACCTACTGGATAAGAAGCTCTGGACAGGAGCCCATCAATCTGTCAATTCTGGTACTGTCTAAGGTTTAAGAATTTATGCCCTATTGGAGTTTCTAGTCTAATTGGAGAGATCAGATATCATCCCAGAGAATACATAAGGACCATACATATTAACTGCAAGGGAATGGCAGTCAAGATGTTAAAATCTTTCCTCCAATTAAACACATGTGGCATAAAATCTCATAGAGAACACAATCCAAAGATTGTATGTAGGTTATTTGAAAGTTTGAGTGCACTTTCTATAATATACATCTTTCCATCATTGTAAAAATTACAACTTATTATTGTAGCACCACTGTAATTGATCTCAACACCAATATGTTGGAATAAGAATGTTAACAAAAACGCAGCTGGCAAAACTATGAACAAAATTGAGAATAAATATGTGATTTTCATTTAACCTTAAGAACAAAGTTTAAAGAAATGGAAAGTAAGATGAGTAATCTCAGAAGAATAAGATGTTTTGCTCACAGGACATAAAAACAAAATCAGCCAGAAAGTTCCCTAGCCAGGTGGTAGTTCAAAGCCAGTCCAGGCAGCAAAGTCCACGAGGCTCTTATTTCCAAGTAACCACCAGAAAACCGAAAGTGGTGCTGTGGCTCAAGTGGTAAAGCACTAGCCTTGATGAAGAGCTGAAGGAGAGCACCCAGGCCCAGTGTTACAACTCCACGACTGACCAAAAAAAAAAAAAGAGTTCCCTAGAAAGATTTGGTTCTTGCAATAATGCCAATTGAGACCAATACTGAATTCCTTCTATCTAAAGTACTGCATAATCTGTAAAATTTGTGAATCACAACAAATTCAATTACATTCTGAGCTGGAAATTGGAAGAAAAGAAAGCAGTGGGAAAAGACAAAGTAGTGAAATCAATTATTTTTCAAAACAAACAGATGAGAGCCTCTGTTGCTTGCCTGTTCTGCTCTTCAAAGTGTTTTCTATGGAAACATCCGTCTTGTGATCGCTGCTCCTGTACATTGTTTCAAGGTGGTACCCACCCCCTTCTTCCCAAAGTGTGTTCAAATGAAGAGATAAAAAAGAACACCTGGGCTCCATCAAGGGAAAATTGCTACTCTAATGAATACCTTGTTTTAACTGTCAAGTGTACCACCTGTGTGCGTTTTCACACTGATGGGTATATGAGACTTCCTCTCTCCTTTTTGCCTTATGAAATATTCATTGGAAGTGAAAGTTTATTTATTAGCCCTAATGATGTCCTCTCTTAAGCTTTTAATGATACTACCTCTCTTTTGTCCTTTTCCTCCCTTCTCTTCCCTCTAACACATTTTTCACTTTGTTTTTCTATGTATGTTTCATTTATTCCTTCATTCATATGTGTGATTTATTCATAACAGATCACAAGAAGTGGAAGAATACTTTCTGAAAAAGAATATAAGCTAAATATCATGAAGCAGGATCATCAAAAATATATCCGGGAGTGCTTAGCCCAAGCTATTTTCCATAAGGTCCTTGACATGGAGGTACAAATATTTATTATCTTCCATAGATCTGATAGTTAGTAGTGTAATCATTAATATTATTTTCTATCAGGGGAATTGTTCCTTTACTTCATGAAAAAGTAAATCAAACCAAGTGATTTGGGAGATGCTTTATACCTCTGTAGGTATCCAGGAGCCAAGAGACTGTGAACTTTTCTCTCTTTTAGTTGGGAAAAAATGTGGGCATCATTACATATTTTGTGATATTTAATTTTCTAAATGTAGATTTTTTTAATTCACAATGGCTACTCTGAAACATACCAGCCCTCACCATCTGTACGTTAATTTCCATTTACTAAAAAAAAAGTGACATCTGTTTAAATATCAGTAATTCCACTGCCATGAATTATTTCAGATCTGTTATTCTTTTAAGTCTCGAAGCTCAGCCGTATGTTAAGCTTCAAGGAATAGGCACAGAAACATCTGCTGTCCCTCCTACCTCAGGCCACACTGGTCACTGCAGATTTACAACCCAAGCATCAATATAGTGTACATTAAAAAAATCCAACATAGCATTTTTAGTGAAATATCTAGCTAACTTGATAAATTATTTCAGCCTTGCTCCATGAAACTTGTAGTTTCAAGCATCAACACCATTTTAATCTCTGTGAAAAAGTATGTCATTTTTTGGCTTGACCAAATAGCTGTAAATCAAAACTCCTGGCTTGTAAAACTTTTGACCTGTGGGCACAAGTAAACATTTGTGTTCAACTGTAGAATCATCAGTAAACCAATACCAAGTTTAGTTCCACTGAAGTATTTATTATGTCACCATTATATTGATTAAGCATTCCCTTAAGATGTGTGTATCCATGTTTATACATACACACATTCTATTAGTTTGGCAATTCATTTTGTGGTTTATATCATATGCAATAATATGGACCTCCAAATCTGATTGCTTACAAAGGTATTAGTTAGAACTCTGTAGTTTGGTTTAAAATTAATCAATACAGCATAAAATTAAGCTATACTTACTCAATAAGCACTAAGTTCAATATTAGCCTTAGACCTTAGATTGTAGTTTGTGTTTTCTTTTCATTCCCCCTCTCTCTGTCTCTCTGTCTGTCTGTCTGTCTGTCTGTCTCTCTCTCTCTCTCTCTCTCTCTCTCTGTGTGTGTGAGTGTGTGTGTGTGTGTGTGTGTGTGTGTGTGTGCAGGTCCTGAACTTAGGGCTTAGGTCCTGTTGCTGAGCTTTTATGCTGAGGAATAGTACTCTACTACTTGAGTCAGAGTTCCATTTCTGGCTTTTCTAGTGGCTAGTTGGAGGTAAGAGTCTCATGGACTTTCCTGCCCAGGCTGGTTTTGAACCTCAATCTTCAGATCTCAGTTTCCTCTATATCTAGGATTACAAGTGTGAACCCCCTGCACCCTGCTTAGAGTTTAGTTTTCTGAACTCTCATATGACTGCTATATTATGTTGCAACAGAATTAGATGTGATGTAATTTAAGAGCCTTCATGCATTTTTCAAGTGTGGCATAAATACTTTGACTAATAATAATATATAATCTACAATGTAGTTTATATGTAATAGAACATATAATAATTATAATGTACAGGTTTGGTATCCCTAATGATCATGGATCTAAAATGTTCCAAATCCATCATGATGATACTCAAAAACTTCTTGGTTTCAGATTTTCAGATTAGGGATGTTTACTGGAGAAAAATCTATATAAATATTCCAAACTGAAATCTGATTTATTTCTAGTCTCAACTATTTTTGATAATGGAGACTCAATTTATACAACACAACAATTAATATACTAAAATGTCATACTCTAAAAAATGTCATACGTGTCTTTCATTTAATTTATTCCAATACAGATGACTAATATTGCTATATTAACACCCATTCGATAGGAATGGAGTTATTCACATAAATAACATTAATTGCAGGCATCCACCTGCCCAAATGAGAATACAATGGCGTGAAAGGACATTGAACGTAAAGGAAAGCTCATTGTGGCCACCATGGGTGGGTTGGAAGGAATGGCTGAAAGTTGGGTCTTTGGTTTGTGGAGAACCTTAAATTCCCAATTTGGTTTGAAGAGTAGGTGATGAGGCGATGAAATGTTTTCCAGCAGGGGAGTGAAATAAATGAGCAGAGCTGTTTGAGAAAGATGATGTTACTAAAAATGTGGAAGATGGATTAATGAGCTGGAAAAGATTGGAGGTGGGAGGTCAATTAGGAAGCTGTTGCCAAAGGGTGTGGGCTAATAGCAGTAGTGATGATGCTGTGGAGATGCAGCTGTCTATAGAGATAGTGAAGATGGAGAAAGCCTTGAAGTAACTGAAAGGAGAGGAGATTACAAGAGGACGGGGCCAGAGCAACACTGAGGTTTCCAGCCCGGGTGTCCGTCTATGGAAGAACAGGAGGAATAGCAACAAGAGGAGAAAAGAACAAGTTGTAAATTTCATGCCTGTAGCATGGGGTCCTGCAAGCCAGGGGAGACTACAAGTTGCAGGATGGTTAAGTAAGATGAGTGCTGGGGGAAAAGGAGATTATATTAGACCCAGTGGGCTGGTGGCCCTGGGAAAGTAGTTTCATTGGTGGTAAAGAAGAGGAGCTGACTGCAGAGATTTGGGGATAAATGGAAGATGGAATGTGGTTGATAGTGAATGTAATAAAGTTTGGTGATAAGTGGGTGAAAGATCAGAGGAAAGAGAGAGAGGAAAGGGAAATATCAAGAAGAGAATTAATGATTCTCAGATGGGAAATGATTAAGTGTGCAGAGCCAGGAATCCAGAACATAGACACTATTTTGCTCTCCCCACAGCACCAATAATTAAAATATTCTCAAATGCATGTACATGATTATCAAATTCAATTGTAAGTAGATCACCTTCATGTGATGATAATTTTAATGTAATATGCAAGTTTTGGAAAACACAAAAATAGCACTTTAAAAGAAAAAATAATCATATGTATGTCTTATTATCAAAGATAGCCACTACTGTTTATGTATTTTTGCTTCTATTAGTGTTTCTGCATTAATAAAGGTATGACATGTGTGAGGCCCTGGGTTCAATTCACACACACACACACACATTTGCACACACATACATACACATCATGTGTTCTTAGAGGGCCATGGTTTAGGGTAATAAACAATCATAAAACCCAGAGAGTTAATGTTATTAGACCAAGGTTCAATTTACAGTTCCAGGGCTGACTCCATATATTACTGGCCTCAATTTTTGCACATAAAATGGAACAGCTGGACAATGAGAGTTGTTCAATTAGTGATGTATGGGGCTAGGTGCCTGATTAAGCCTTGATCAATAAAGTTGTATTTCTGTGCCATTCTATATCTTGCTTTTCCCTACATCATGTGCATTTACCATACTTTATAAAACAAATCTTTCTGAATTCTGTCCCATCACATAGATGTGCAACAAAAAAACAAAACTCTAACCATTCTCTTCAACATTTCTATCACAGTTGCCATTTTTTCTTTGATGAAGGAAGAAAAGGAATCTTTCAGATAGCATCTTCATGCTCAAAACACTTTGAAATCATTGTTCAGTTTTCCTCTTAGCTTTAGGAGTGTAATTTACTGGTTAAAAGCAATGGATACTTTTAACTGCTTAAGATGTGCTTATAATTGGCGTCCCAAAGAGTGGTATCAATTTCTATTCCCACCTGCATACTTATGCAGGTGATTCTTCTCCATCTCAATGACAAAAGGGGTAATTGAAAAGACAGCTATTGGAATAATTTTTCTCTAAAAAATTCTTTGCTATAGCTCACACGATTCTCTCTTCCATTCTTTCCTGTATGCCCAGCGTTACCATCAGCTTGAGATAAAAAAGAAACTAGAGACTTTAGCGAGAAAGGAGCAAGTTCAGCGGTTTAAGGTAAGGTACTACAAACTTTCTTTTACTTCATGATGTTATTTTATGACTACAAGAGCCACTAGTGTGATGATTGAAGTTCCCTGATTGACTTTGTTTTGGGGTAGAACATAGCTGAGGTCAAATAATGGTTCTACTAAGTTTGGATCTTGGTTGTCATCATTACTGACAATCACAACAAAATAAGAACATTTCTGTGAAATAAATTTTAACAAGGCACAAGAATTTCAAAGACAAACTTGAAAATATCCTTTTCAAACGTGTAATTTTGCTTTTATATTTTCTTGTGAGAGAGGCCAAAGGATTGTCATCTGTCTTAAGAAAATAAAAATAGATGGTAATGTTCCCAGCAAGAAGAAAAATTGGGCACCTTAAGAACTATACAATGAAACATTTTCATGTGAATGTCACCCTTGGAAATTATGGTGGCAATGATCTTCTTTTGCAAAGGAAAACAATAAGATTTAAGTCATTTTGTGCTGGGTAATTTGAAATTCCTTGCTTATTTTCTATTTTTATCTTTGAGATTCCTTCTCTGCAGTGAACTTATGAAATACATAAATTTGAATCTAGATGAGAGTTCAATTAGGTATGTCTGAAAGATTACAGTTAAGGTTGGCAGTTTTATTCTGTTTCTTGAGCCATTCAAAATCCCATGTTTTTTCTTAATTTTCTGTTTAGTCTTACAAATGTGGGGCCTAAAATATGTTTCAAAAAACTGACCTGTATTTGGAAAGGGTATTTCTGAAAGGATAACTTACTATATGTGGCTGTAATTTCTCTCTCTGGCTTGATAGACTCAAATCTATTTAATCTGGATCAGAACAGTATCTTGGTATAAAAGTGATGGTAAATGATGAAAGATAGGCCAGGTTTTCAATATCAGAAGAAGTAGAGCATAAAGATTTGTGGTTAATTCCCTAACTTATCTGCTGAAATGATCATGAAGAAAAATGGTCACTGGAAATAATGACTAGCACTGCCTGAAGCATTGTGGAGTGTGGCTGTGCTACATTGTCTCTTGCTTGGATTGCCAGGCCAGGGGCGGCCAGTGCATGAGCATCAGTAACAATGGCAGAGATTCTCTATAGACCTTCTAGTTCCTCACCACGTGGTTTTTTCCTCATCACAAGTTCATTTCCTATTTGCAATTGGTAAAGACTTGTTTCAAATCCCCTTTATTTAAGAAAGAGGTGACAGTGATCAAGATGCATTGTACTCATAAATAGATATGTTGAATTGAAGCCCTTTAAAAATAACTACTTAAAAGTAATTTAAAACAAGTATTATGCAATCTGTTTTGGTTAATGGAATCATTGAATTATTTTCCAAGATAGAAAATTACTATTTTCTGGAAGTCTTTACTGATCATAGTAGTCAAAAGCATTGTGTTCGTTATAGTGGTTCCTTTAAAGCAGCTCAGAGTAAAGATCATCACAAAAACAGAGGGCAACCTGCTTCTATATAGTTGAAGATGATTCCATTTCCTGCCTCTCACCTCTGCCTTCAAATCCAAATTAGGGCTGTCGGAACTTCTGTCTACCATGACAAGCCTCAGAAATACCATTTTTAGAATGAACGGAGAAATGACTTTGGTTTCACAATTAAGAATGAGCTTATTATATCAAGCACTAATTTAACATATCAACTATGCATCTCTTTCTTATTCCAGGGAGAGCACACAAGAAAATTTATTGAAAACAACATGCCAATCCTGTCTCCCCATCCCCCAGCAGGCCCAAAGACAAGTCGTGGCCATAGTGTTCTGATTGATGAAAGATATTCCAGTCCACTAACACCAGTGAGTTATATTAAACACTCTGTCCTAGATAGTTAATTTATGATGCATTTTAGAAAAAATGCTCTCTAGGATCATATCTTCATAACCCTCCAAGTGCTACTAGGTAAAAACATTGGTTTAGAAATAACATGAAAATAGGCATATATAATAACAAGAATAGGTCATATCTGCTCAACTCTGTCTTATGAATGTCTCAACTCCAATCAAACTCTTGCCAAATCTGTTTTGCTTCTTAGCACTAGATTTTATTGAAATATAGGATACTTAAACATTATTCACATTACCAAATATCTTCGCTAGCTGGAAAAGACCAGAATCTTTTTTTACTTGACATTTAAGACCCTAAACGTATGACCTTATGTTAGTTTTCCTGATATTTTCCTTTTATCTAGTCCTTAGCAACCTAACATGTAGCAAAATGGAAGCACTAGTTAGGTTAACACAAGGTTTGTGTTTTCTGCCCGCTTGTTTTTTGTTCTTAGTATTCCTTCTATGAACACCATATCTTCATAAATATAATTGTACCATAATGAATGTTGAAGAGATATTAACACTTGGCTTCTTTTATAAAAAATGTGAGCTTATACTTTAAGTAAAAATAATTAAGTGGAAAATTCTACCCAGAGAAATTGTGCAATAATATTTTATTCCAGTTTGATACATTTATTACCTAGAAGTTATAAATGAAACAAGGTACCTTGCTTGAAGGAAAGTACCTTGAAATAATACAATTATGGGCAATATTACCAAATATTTGCTAGAAGCTGACAGTTGTGTTATAACTAAATTGCTTAATTGCATCTTTATTCTTGCTATGTGTAACCTAATATATTTCCTTGTTAGTATGAGGAAAACAATTTTTGAGTTCATGATGTTTCTAGAGAAATTACAATGCTTTTGCAGATTGTTGAGTTAGGTTTATCATATAGAGTGTTAAACTTGGACATTTTTCTAAAAGTAAATATGTTTTAAAGTTTCCTGATAAGCAGCTCAAGTGATGCAAACTTCCTTTGTTCTTACACTTTTCCCAGTTTTGGTCTATCTATATCTATCTGTCTGTCTGTCTGTCTGTCTATCTATCTATCTATCTATCTAATTATTTCTTTGGATGGCAACTCAATAGACTCTCAAAAGCTTAATCCCAGTGAAATAAAAGAAACATTCAAGTTCTTGTTTCTGTCTTCCTACCTGCTGTAGAGAGGAAAGCTTTCTTTTCAATTTTCCAGCGGAACACCTTCAATACATAGTTTGTGATACATCTAGAAGACCTTAATATGACAGGAGTGAGAAAATAATTTTAAAATTACAGCAAACATCAATACCAACACTTTAAATGTTTCTCTCAAGTAAGCTAGGATTCTTACTTGGTCATCCCGATGGTCCACTGAAACAAATAGATCTTCATAATAGATATGGCCATCAGTATCTTTATTTCCTTTTTTTTTTTGGGGGGGGACCGGTCGTGGGGGCGGAACTCTGGGTCTGGGCTCTGTCCCTCAGCTCTTCAGCTCAAGGCTAGCGCTTGAGCCACAGCGCCACTTCTGGCTTTTTTCTTTTTGCTTATGTGGTGCTGAGGAATCGAACCCAGGGCCTCAGGCATGCAAGGCAAGCGCTCTACCACTGAGCCACCTTCCCAGCCTCAGTATCTTTATTTCTTGAAATAATAAGGAAAGCATCTAGTCACTAGATGGTCACTAATTGCATCTGAACTTGAGGTGCATTGTTTATCTGTACCATGTCATTAAAATTGTGGAACACCATTTCAACTAATTCCATGCCATTCTTAGGCAATTCACTCCTTGAGATTTTCTAAGAATTATAAATGCTCAGTAAAGCTGAGTAATCACCAGGTAGTCAATTTCAATTCACATTCGGGTACAATTTTGAGAATGCTAAACTACAGTGCCACATTTACTCCAAAAATATATTACAATTTAAAATATAGCAAGTTTAAGGTAGCTTCTGATGTGAACTACAACTGTTTGTAGCTCACAGCTGTTAAATGGCACAGATTTGTTTTTAGAGATAAATGTAATCAGTTAAACATTTGACTGCCACATTCATCTAACTGAATGATATTTGTATGCAAATGCATGGAAATAAAATTCAGAGCAAAAGAGCCAATAGATCATGTTCTAGTTTGCTGTAACCTGATTTCTTGAATCTCTACATTAGATGTTTTCATGTTTCCCTGTTCTATTGGAATGCCAAGAGAGTCTTACAGCATGGACATATTTGTTTTACAGAGTCCAAAACAAGTCTTTGGGTGATCTGATTTCTTTCATCTTCTTTTGTATGGATTTAAAGACCTTTACCTTCTGGTCCATATAGGCTTTCGCTTCATTCTTTGAATCATAGGCTACTCCAATGAACTCTCATGGGTTGGCATGATACTGGTTTGTTCGTAGAAACACTAAGTAGCAATGGCTTAACCATTAGTTACTCTTCCCCATCCAACCCAGGCACCTGAGAGTCAGCTGGCATGACATTTCCACTCTATGAAGTCATCAAAAGCCCAGGTTCCTTTTGTGTTACTCATCTACCAAACTTAGTGTTTTGGTTTCATCCACTTAAGACTGTGTATCACCATGTGGATGCTCTTGCCTCAAGGAAGGGGTACCAAGGAAAGTAAGGACACACTTTTTAAGGGAATGGTCTAAAAGATGTGTCACTTTGAATCACATCTTACTAGACAGCCACAAGCATAAACCTACCCAGAGTTGTATGTAAGGGATTCTGGGAAATCTGATCCTTGTGACAGCCATGTTCCAAGACAAAAGTGCAGTCCCATTTTAAGAAAGGAAAACAGGTATTGGGGAATATTGTGTTTGTTATACTTCCCACATCTTGCTCACAACGGTTTTCTTACTTAGATGTTTAAATTTACCATTTTTCTCTGCTTATGCATTTTCTTCTCTTGCTTCACTGAATAACATCTGCCTCTCTGAAACTTTAATTCCTATTAGACTCATTGGCTCAGTTTGAATATTTCAAAGAACTTCAATTGTGAAGTCTCCTTTCAGGTATTTTGTTGTGATTGTATATTTGGCAATATTTTTTGTTGGGAGGTCACTGGACATTCACTGTTTTGTATCATCATTAGATGATAAAGCCTGTTTTAATCTTGTTACTGAGCCTATGGTGTGAATCAATAAATGTTAACAAATGTAAATAATGTTCAGCCTGCTTGTCAAGACAGTATTAAGACTAATATTTGGTAGTAGGAGCTGCCTTACTGCTTTTTAAAATATTTATTAGTCTTCAGAGTCAATGGATGAAGCTGTATTAATGAATCATTTATGTACCACCCTCCTACCTTCTTACCAAATATGCATGTCTTATTCTTCAGAGCTTTTTTACTACTTATTGTAATAGGACAATGGGGTCAAAGGCTTAATTTTGTTCCCCCTTTTGACACATTGCTAATCTGTGTACTAAACTTACAATATTCTGTTCATGCCCCCAACGGCACTTCTAATGCTCCATGCTGGCACTTTTGGTATTCACAGCAGTACATTCTTGATTGGAAAGTGTCTCAGTTGGGGGCTCAGCAGGAAACAGATGGCTCACACAAATAGAGTAATTAGGAAGTGTTTAATAAAGAAACTATTTACAAAGATGCAGGCTTGGTGAAGGCAAACCAACTAGGGATGTTAAGCATGCTAGGGTCAGCACAAAGGAAAACCACAGTCCGTAGACTAATAGTGGGAGGGAGAGAAAAAAAGAGAGAACAGAACCAGTCAGTGGTTAGTACCTATAGCTGGAAGAGAAACAAGGGGCTTAAGTTGAAAGATACTTCTGTCCCATTGCAAACCTGCAGGAACAGTCCCAGGGAAGTAAAGATTCCAATGCCATGGTTTTCTTGTCCTGCCAATGCCCTTCCTTGGTAGCATCTAACTGGAATCTTGAAGTTGGCTGCTAAATTCCTAAAGGAAAGCCTCCCAGGGGTCCCAGAGCAAGACAGAGAAGGTAGACAGGAGACATAGGCAGTACAAATGGAAAATACACAGCTTGGAAAACCCATCTGTTTTCTCATACAGTGTTTTATAAAGTTACCAGTTACAATCTTTCATTTTCATTTTTTAATATCTCAAGGAAGCAGTTAAAGTAATGATCATATGTTATAGTTAAGCATCTCACTTTCCTATTGCCTGCTTTTACTTCAGCACTGACCTTAAGGCTTAAAAGATTCATAGTACAATTTATATTGAAAACATTGAATCAGAAGTGAACCAATTCCAATAATATCCTTTAAGATTTCTAAAATTAGGAGCATTATTCAACCTAACATTTAATTGTGCAAAACCATGCAATGCAGAGCATAAATTAAAAATTGTCATTGAGTTTACAGTATGCATAAAAATGCAGCAATGTAACAGAGGACATCTCCTTTGTCTAGAATACTCTATAATTGTGGCATTTAGTTATTCAGTGGACTTCAACACCATATGTTTTAACAAATACTTTGGTCATAAGGGTATGTATAATGGAAGGACATAATTAAAGTTTAATCTGTTCAGTAAAAAGGCACCATTAATTACTCTAGGCAATTTGTTAGGTTATTAATTGGTTCTGGAAACATGTCAAGATACTAATTTAAATGGAATTTTTTCTTTAATTGTCTAGACAGCCCCACGACCATATACAGCCCCGGGAATTATGCGGCCTCCAATTAGATTACAGCCTCTTCCCAGTAATCATGCCGGAAGAAGTGTTTCAAAGAGAACCTTGAGGTCCAGATCAAAAACTTCTTTGTCAGAAAATGAAGTTCCATTTCCCATTGGGGTAAATGTTATTTTCTTCAATGTTCTTGATGAAGAGTATTGAGTTTTCAAGATTTTATATTTAATTAATCCATGCCATCTATATTGTGCAGTTATTAAGTACTTACTGTGTACTTCTGATTCATTCTTATTCTTATTGGCAAGCCTATCAATTCCGTTGTTACAAATTAAGATGTATAAGCAATGATGTGTAATTATGTATCGTGTTTTGTCATTAATTGAAAAGGCTGACTGCAAAACAAAGAGGAAAGATTTTTCACAGCCAGACATGACTTTTATCATAAATGACCCACTGTTGACTCCTTCCAGATTTTAAATGCATGAGATCTAGAAAATGGAACTTTCTAAGAATAGGTTTACATTTGCATGCCGACTTACTTTCCCATCAGTGTATGAAATTGCTTCAAGTTTGACTCTTACAAGGTTGAATTATTGAAGGAAAAGAATGTCCATCTTTAAAAAATGCTGAGTTAATCACATCCAGGAGCTTGACTCTGCTTCATTTTCAAGGTTATGTCTCAGGTAGTTTTCACTCATTTAAATAGAGGACAGGAATAAGGTATGATAACTATGAAATGCGAATTAATCAGGGAGGAATAATTAGGACATTCATTAACTAGGGAAGGTATTGTTTGAGTTTATAATATGAACAAGACACATTTGCCAGCTTAAGAAAGAACCTATGTCAAAACTATAATTGCTATTGGGTTGAATAGGGTGAATGATATTCTGTTCCACAGTAGGGAATAGCATGTATGGAATTAAGGCATTTTTACATACTTAATAACCTTGACACTAAGGCACTAATTCATATGAATTATTTAACAGTTTAAGTATAAATACAAGTCTAAAATTATAATCTAACTCACTTAATACTCTAACCCACTTATATTTTTTTGTTTGTGAACAATTTTACAAAACTTATTTTAATTAAATAGTAGCTTCCCCCAAACGAGACAACATCAATCCAAAGTGATGGCTCTTTGTATTGAGAAGACTCCTAGAGCTATGTAGTAATGTGTTGGAACATAAGTCAATTAGTTTGGTGCTTCCTAAGACCTACTCTCCAACTGAAGGCTCCCTGATCTCCCATTTCAGTCACTGTCCAGGATTGCTTGGGTCTTGGGAAATTATCTTAGGTTAACTAAAATGACTTATAGCAAAGGTTATCTTCTCAAACCAAATCAAGAACTTACGCTAATCAGGAGTTATTAATTCACGAAGAGCTATCAATTAGTCAAAGCTTATAGAACTTATAAAACTGCATGGAAAGCCTGGTAGGTAAAGTGACATGGGGAGCCAGGTCACAATGAGGAGGTTGCTTAGTGCATTTGGGATCAGAATGGAGGGAGGGGAGATACACTCAGATGGAATATTAGTCAGATCAGACTAAGATGGCCCAGTGAACCAACTCATATCAGGAATGGGCTTACCAACAGTACCAGAAAACTCACAGGTCTTTGGATAAAACCCTCTGTGTTCTCCAGGGATAACTTTGCCATTAGGACTGAGTATATTCAAACTTCAATGGGGAGGATTTTCTGTCTCCTAGTTTGTACTCCGATGAGTACTTTCCATGTTTGCCCAGGTGATTATACTCATTTCTAGGATCTATAATTATGAAGTGTATTTTATTATATTTTCTAGTTAAATAACAATAGCAATCAGATAATATTTAAATTCTTCTGACTGGGAGTGATTTTATTTTTCCTTTTAGGTGCTTTTCCAAATTTACTCTAAGCTACTGGAAAGACTTACCAGTTAAAACTAGCATTTCCTGGTTTGGGGGAGAGGGTTTATAAGGATGGGAACTTCATGGTAGTTTACATGTTGACAGGATTGAAATCAATTGTGTGTTAATTTCAACTCACTAATATTCACTTTTTAGTAAGTATTAATTGGCATGTACTATGGGCTAGATACTGATAGAAGAATTGGTGCTTTATCAATTATAAAGGAAAGCAACTAATTTATTGGAGTTTATAATATGAGTTTACGCAAAATATACTGTGGCAAAGTTGTTTTTACTTTTCAGTAGCATTCATGACAAAATTAAGATAAAATCTTATGGGGAAGAAAAATGGAAGGAGTGAAATTGGTCAAGACACATTGTATTCATAAACTGATATGTTGAATTGACGTTACATTGTACAACTACTTAATGATAATTATAAGCTTAATTTAAGAAGATAAAAATCTGATAATACATTTCTAATGAAGAATTATAGTCTGAATGTATAAGTATGTATATAGTGACCACCTAACAAATTATTATTGCTTTTTTTAAAAAATAAAGGCTATGCATGTGGTAAATATTTCAAGGTAGAACAGTTGCAATATATTTAACTGGTGTAGTAGGATAAGTGGAGGCATTTACTTAGGCCAAAAGTGGATTTGGCCAAAAACAAATTCTTTTGAGATACAACTAAGTAAAAATAAGCACTTTGCTAAAAAATGAATTTCCGCAGAATGACTATTTTTTATACAGAGTTGGTAGAAGTAGAAATTGGTTCAAAATTGTAAAGCCAATTCTGAAAATATTATCACCATTTTAAATAAATATACTCAAGCATTTAACATGTAAGTCTTTTAACACAATATAATCATTTAAAGAAATATATTCAAGAATATGTTGTACCATCATATTTATAATCGTGATCAACTGCAAGAAAGTTAAATAAAAATATTGTTGTAAAATGTTATAATACATTAAAGTAGATTTTAAACCTACAGGATTATCTGTAAGGCTATGGAAAGTTGACCCAAGGTAATTTGATAAGTTAAAGAACATATTAATTAAAAAAAATTCAAACTATTTCCAGATAAAGCAGTGGTCTAATATCTAGTCAGTTACAAACTCTCCAATCTCCCAAATGTCAGGTCTCATTGATTTTATTGTTCTTGTTATGTTCACTTATTTTTATTTGATTCTACAATTGCCATGTAGCCCATTCCAGAAAAAAAGAAAAAAAAATGTAAGGAAAAAGAATTTAAAATATAATACAAAATATAAGACCAGCCATTCTAACAAAATAAATGATTTCATGAATCTCTATTTAAAATTCATTTTGTACATATTTCTTAATACGTATTAGTTGTACAGTGGTGCTTCCATTTATACATACAATGTACACTGACCAAATTCTCCCTCTTATCACTCTTCTTCATCTCCTCCTTAAAACAAAATCAAAGGTTTCATTGTTCTATTTTCATACATGTATATATTTCAAATATATCCTCCCTTCACTTCCTTCATTCATCTTCCATTTTCACTGGTATACATCTACCTATAAAATCTGTTTTACATTCCTTTTTCACAAAACTATTACTTTCAATCAAAATTGGGACTACATATTCCTTTATTTGACCTATTTTTATTTAGTAATGAAAATGTTTGGAGAATAATATCCTTTGCTTAGAATAGTTTTCTTCACTTAATATAACTTTCTTTCACTGTATTTGATGTCGGTATAATTTGTGGAGGGGAAGGGGAAAAACAAATCGTTTAAATAAGGATACAGGTGGACCCATTGCAACAATGAGATGTACAAGTCGTTATGTCGAAAACGAACTTTACAACTTTGGTGCGGGGGGGGGTGCGAGGGGAATCGGGGGGGGGTGCGGGGGGGAGGGATACAGGGGGGGGAAGGTTGGTTCGGGTGGGGGGCGGGGGGAGGATGGGAAGGGATAGGAAGGGGAAACAAAGGAGGAGGCTACAATGCTTGATAAGAAATGTACTCATTATATTGCCCATGTAATTGTAATCTCTCTGTACAGTATTTTCACAATAAGAAAAGAATAGTTTTCTTCATTATTAATCTGTAATTAGAGATTAAACATTATTTGGAAGTTAAAAAAATAAATTCAGGGTAAATTCAGGGGCTGAGAAGGTAGCTCAGTGGTAGAGCGCTTGCCTTGCATGCATGAGGCCCTGGGTTCCATTCCTCAGCACCACATAAGCAGAAAAAGCCAGAACTGGCACTGTGGAACTAGCCTTGAGCTGAAATGCTGAGGGACAGCACCCAGGCCCAGAGTTCAGGCCCCATGATCGACCAAAAAAATTCAATAATAATTTGTTACATAAATATAGAAACAAATACATTGGTATAAATCCTTAAAGGCTCATTAAAGTTTTGGAGAGTACCTTGGATATACAATAGTTACTGAAAATTTGCAGATTTAAATATACCTGAAAATATAATTATTGATTATACATTTGGGGTATTGTAGTGGTTAAGGTAATGTAACTACAATATATCCTTAAAGGAACTTCCCTTTTTAATTTCTCCCAGTGTTCATTGGTTTTTAGCCAAAATGTACATATGCATTTTTAAAAAGAAAATGTAATATCATACTACATGGATTCTCTTACATTATATAAATAGATACACATCTTTCTTCCAATACCCTGATAAGAATGAATTATACAAATATCAAATATCTTCCTATTGCTAGGCTTTTAAGATGTTACACTTTTGTTTAAAATAAATTATATATAATTATGAATATTATATATGTGTAAATATATACATATAATACATACACTATGTATGCCCACATTTAATTCTTAATATTTTTAATAAATATTTTAGTTGCCATTTTGTTCATAGCCTTAACAACCCCATATAATTATAATATCTAGATATGTGAAATCAGAATGTAGAAAAATGCTACTCTTCTATTGGTAAGGGTACTATCCAACCCAACTTCAAGGTAAAAAACTATTGACTCCTTGGTTTTGTTTAATTGCACTAGGTTCTCAGAAGTTTAATGGATTGAGGAAAAATTCCCAAACCATTAAAGGTACCATTACTGTATTTAGGGTTAAAACTACACTAACATAAGGTGAGAAATTTTCAAATATTTAATTTGCTATAGATATTATGCTACATTTCAGCTGACTGGAGTATTTTGGATATATATTTTGGATCAATTATGTGTGAATGCAATTTTTAATCATATAAAGTGTCTTTTGTTTTAGAGTGCATTGGTTACTGCTTCTGTATCATTGGTTCCTTTTAAAAAATATTATACAGGTGATGTACAGAGGTTTATAGTTACATAAGCCAGGTAAGGAGTACATTTCCTTTTGAACAATGTCACCAGCTCCTTCATTTTCTCCCACATTTTCCCCTCCCATTTACCCTCCCCCAAAGTTGTATAGTTCATTTCCAAAATAGTATATAGTGGATACTAGATATCACTTCTGAATTGGTTCACCCTTTGTCCCCCTCCATAGATAAGACTTATATACAAGACAAAGGATACAGAAATCAAAACCAGTAACAAAAGGGAATAAACCAAAGCCTAATGGATAGTAAAGGACAAATAATTACTCTTGCACATGATTGGTTAAACATCACACTAAACATTCACACAGTGAGACCAAAGGAAGATATTCTTAGGAAAGGATCACAAGGGCTCAATAACTATGCACATATGACCTTATTAAATGACACTATCAAAATGAACTCTAAGAAATGGAAACAAGAGGTTTTTTATTGTACTGTTTGTTTTTTCTCCCTCCCTAACCTTTCTTGTTTGTTTGTTTACTTGGTTCTTACATCATGAAATGTGATTACAGGGCAAGAAGTCAATGCTGAAGTTCAGGAACTCCATGGACTTTTCACAGAGAATTTTTCCATATCAGCTTCCCTACATTGAAAATTACCTGAGATCTATTCCTCCTCCATCTCCTCCCCTAAATGGCAAGATCACAAGGGAAAACAGATCTGAAACATGGAGAAGGAGGAGATTTCGTCCAACCACTGCTCCAACTGGCTTAGAACCTCTCTTTACCAGGGTGATTATGATATCAATTTTTCTGTTATTCATTTAATACAGATTATATACATTACTAGAATTCTACATTCCTACTAGAAGAATTTGTAGGGATTGCATACAAACTTAGTTTTTAGTAGTATAATGCCATCTTAAGTGAAACTAAATAGTTTGAGTAGTTCAGTTTGAGTAAACTAATTTTACATACTTGATAATATACTGATTAAAAATTGTGGTCAAATTTAGTTGGAACGACTCTCATTTCCAAATCATTTGCTTACTTAGTGCATTTAATTTGTGAAAATTCAAATGCTTAAGTCTACCTGGAATATGTAATACATCCTGCCAATTTTTATTTTTGATGATTTAAGCCAACTTAATGTTTATTAACTAGAAAAAAGTCAGTGATATTTTTCTATGTATTGTAGTTCATGGTACTCATTTCCTGAAAAATACTGATAAAAAACATACTTGTAAGGCTAGTTGAATTTTATTCAGATTTGAGCTATTAGGAAGGCAAAATAGCTATACCACCAGTATTAATTGCATGTGTGATACTTAACAGATAACTATGTCTGTGTTTTCCTGATTGAGCATCAGAGATAACCAGCATGCACACAAACGCCCATAATGGCACTTCAACAGCAGCCTTGCTCTTTCAAGTTCTCTCTTCCCCTTATTGTCCACATTTTATTATTAGCAAATATCCACACCTCTAACTTCCTCAGAAAGACAAGGTCCTTATTCTTCTGCTTCAACAGGGTTTTCACCAGTTAAGTTCCCTTTGTGGCTGTCTCTGTCAGAGCCAGAGAATCTATCTCATCCCTGAGAATCAACCTTTGTCCATATCCTTGATCATTGACTCTTCCATGGTTTGTAGTAGCCAGTAATCTGCCATTCCTTTCTAATTAGGATTTCCAGCCTTCTTCCAAAATTCATTGGCAACATACCAGTCCTGACATGCAGTCAACGAATCCTTTTACCATAGACTGTAACTATATACATGAACTTTCTCCTTTATTTTTATTGCAAAATTAATTGAATAACTTATTGTACTTTAATGTAATGAAAACCCCTAGTTTACAACAACAAAGTTTAATTACTTCTACTATGATCATGCTTTTGTAACTGTAATTCCTGGCCTTGGACTGGAGTCTCTCTCCAATGCATCTTCTTGCCCCTTCTGAAGAGTCTATTACACGTCAATTTATTTGTCACCCTTTGCTTACTACCCAGTGTGTTTATTTATAGATTTGTAGGCACATCCTAGCTTCCACAAATGAAGGAAACCATGCAACCTATGTTCTTCTGGGTCTGGCTTACTGCACTTAATATAATTTTTTTCTGTCTTTCCATTTCTTTATGAATGGTACAATATTATTCTTTCTGATGGATGAGTAGAATTCCATTGTTTATATCTACTACATTTTCTACCATTCATCTATTGAGGGGCATCTGGGCTGATTCCATATCTTGGCTATGGTAAATAATATGTGAAATAATCTTACTACTTTATTTTGCTTTAGTATGTATAAAAGAAATATAATAATTTCAGCAGGTAATTGATATGAAAAATTCTAAAGAGTCACTATACATGGCTGCACTATGTCTTTGAGATTCCAGGAGTATTTACACTTTAAAAATACTTGGCAGCCAACTGGGGCAAATGGCTGCTGTTTTAGCAGCAGCCTCAGATGCCACCTCTAAAATAGTTCATATATTTGATAAATGCTATTACATCTTAATAAGCCTACCACAATCATGAATACTTGTGTCCTGTCTCTAAATCTATCAATTAGTAACTCTTCTTGGTTAAGGAGAACACCATTATGCTAGTATCATGAGGGTACCATGATGAGTAAGACTAAATCCTTGTCAGAAAAGTTGCAATGTTTAGCCAGGGAGGGAGACATTAACCAGGATACATTGTAGTATAATTAAGCCACAATGGGAATACTGAAGAAGGAAATATGAACTCTGGATAGGACTTGAGAATGCTTCATAGAGTAGGCAGCATTTGAAATGGACTTTGATCAGTCAGTATTTATATAGAACCAGGGAATATAGAAGAGCAAAGGGGAAAAGTCAGGGAGAAGAAAAGAGTAATCAAATTTCATCTCAGTTTAGTAGATTCTAGCTACTGTTGTTAAACTTTATAGATGTATCTCTAGCTACCCTTTTCTAATGAAATCAGGTATATTCTTCTACCTAGCTGTTTAAAAAAAAAGCCTTAAAAGTGTACATGGTAAGACTTGTAGGTCAAGATAATATTGCCATTCAAAATGGTTTTTTAAATTTTATTTTCTATAATCTTTAAGTAGTAGTACATAGGAGTCATCATTCAACAATCCATTTATAAGTTCAGTGCATCTTTTTTTTTTTTTTTGGGTCCAGTCGTGGGGCCTGAACTCTGGGCCTGGGCACTGTCCCTCAGCTCTTCAGCTCAAGGCTAGCGCTCTACCACTTGAGCCACAGCACCACTTCTGGCTTTTTTCTTTTTGCTTATGTGGTGCTGAGGAATCGAACCCAGGGCCTCAGGCATGCAGGGCAAGCGCTCTACCACTGAGCCACCTTCCCAGCCCCAGTTCAGTGCATCTTGATCAATGTCGTTTCTTTCATTCTTATCCCCTATCCCTCCCAACCCAGCCCCTCTTGAAAATATAAGTTTTGGTTATTGTTATTTGTTTAGTGTTTTGTTTTGAGACAGTTGCACTGTGTTGCTCAGGTTACCCTCAAACTTGTGTGTTTCTCTTGCCTTTCTGAGTCTTCGGTAGTTTAGCCTACAGGTATACATCAACACCTTCCTCTGAAAGGACAGTTTGACTCTTAAGTCCCAAGTGGAGTGCATTTGTCAGAAAGTATTTTCATCCAGAAGATTTGACTCCCTCTCTGGGAATCATGTGTGAGCTAAGTTGTCAGATAAAGTGAATCACAAGGACACACAGGGAAGCGCCAGAGTAGGTAAGGAGGAAGAGGAGTGAGGAGAAAAAGGTAGACAAGTGATTTTATTGTGCTTTCACTGAAAAAAGAATGGGGGAGGTAGGGTGAACTGGTTTGAGATGGATGAACACCTTCACTGAGCTCCAGAGTGTGAGGATTCTTCTGATTAGTGTGTTACTAAACCTGGAGTGGTTAGCACTGGAATATTGACTTAGAGTTTGCTACTTGATAGAGGAGCAGATGTGGAATCTGGGCTGGTTATTTTACAGATGAAAAGTGTTCTCAGGAAGGTCCTTTTCTATCTCCAGGAAGTGTTTGCATGTATTCTCCCAAGGACAGGAAGGCCCCAGACACCAAAATGGCAGAATGAAGGGCCATGCTAAATATACAGCATTTTAGGTCTTCTAGAGTCTAGCCTCCTTCCTCCCTTCTCTCCAGCTTCTCTTCTATCCAAGCCAGTCTGAATTATTCATTTCAACTCATCACTCAACCATTGCCTCACCATAACTTTTTTTTTTTACTTTTTACATTCCACTGATGGTTCACCCACTTCTAAATTATGTACTTTTTTCTTATGCTTTTGTTTTAGTGAAATACAGACATTCACATTTTAAATGATGAGATTGATTGCTTCTCTTACTTATTGGGCCTTTAGTATAAGATGATAGTTATGCTCAGTGTTTAATATATGTCTTTCATCTTATACACATGGCAAACCTCAGAAAGGGACATAATGCTTTCTCCATGTTAGAGATGAGGCAAGTGAAAAAAAATGAGGTTAAATAACTTGTTCAAGTCACAGAGCTAATTAACAACAAACTAGGTGCACAACGTTGCACAAGACACATCAAGGGACTATGCCTGTAATTCTCAAATCTGAATTATATGAAAATTATCAGACATTGTTTTCTCAAAACTTTGAAGATGCTAATTATAAGCATTCAAGAGTTTCTTCGACACACACCAGCTCTATGTTAAGGAAGCAAGTGTTCCTTTTCTTGCCTGAGTGATAAGAAGGGTATGTGTCTATAATTACCCTTTCCAGACCCCTCAGAAGCCCCTGCTCTCTAGTATGTATCTATTACTACTGCTGTCATGACCTTTATGCATTATGCTTACCACAAATCCTCAGGAATTTTTCTTTTGTGCTGATTGAATTCAGGAACTCAAGGCCTAGATTCTATCCCTGAGCTGCTGAAAGGCAGCTCTCTACCACTTGAGCTACAGCTCTACTTCCATCTTTTGGAGAATTAACTGAAAATCCACAGACTTTCCTGCCCAAGCTGGTTTCGAGCCACAATCCTCAGATCTCAGCCTCTTGAGTAGCCAGGATTACAGGAGTGAACCGCCAGTGCCAAGCTTATGAACTTCTTTTATCTCTTGTATCTATGCCTGAGTTACAAAAAAAAAAAAATCAAGGACAAACATTTGATTTTGCTTACATTTTATCCAGCATTTTTGTCAGGGCTCTGTTCATAAAGGCATTATTTTCTTGTCCAATTGAAAACTTAAATTCATCTTTTTGCTTTAGGTAAATTTTATGGAGCTCACTGATGCCTTTCAGATATAGATGCCTTTTTGGGGTCATCAGACTGAAGTGGAGAGACTATAAGTATTTGTTTGTAGAATAGTTCAGATTGATACCCTTTTTTCTCTCTTCCAGAATAATAATAACTGTGTATCCCAGTTTAGATGATAAATTCTAAGATCTATTAGAGTGGTGTTCCACATTTATCAGAGTCTAGTTAAGCAGATGAAGAGGAGTTTCCACTCAGGAACAGGCACTTTGGCATTTAAGCACTCTCTCTCTCTCTCTCTCTCCTTTTTTTTTTGTCAGTCATGGGGCTTGAACTCGGGTCCTAAGCTCTGTGCCTCAACTCTTCAGCTCTTCAGCTCAAGGGTAGCTCGCTACAGCTACAGTACCACTTCCGGTTTTCTGGTGTTTTATTGGAGATAAGAGTTTCATGGGCTTTCCTGTCCAGGCTGGCTTTGAACCATGATCCTCAGATCTCAGCCTCCTGAGAAGCTAGGATTAGAGGCGTGAGCCACCAGCACCTGGCATAAGCACTCTCTTAAAGACACTCCTCACACAGGCCTGGACAGGGAATAAAAAAAATACCAGTGAAACTTAGTACCTGGGTCAAATGATTAGTATTGCAAATCCATTAATGGGCTTACTGTGCATTTGTCTCCTGTATTTGCTTGTGAACTTGACAAGAAGTAGAAAGGAAGTCATAAGCAACTGGTGAAGGACGTAAGAAAAACAAGCTTTTGTTGTGCAGGACCATGAGGTCTTGCTCCTGGTCTTGAATTGGGCCTAAGATTTCATGGAAGGTTTCCATACTTGCTTCAGAAAAGCAGAAAGAATCCTAAAACACTGTTAAGGTTTCATAGTCTGGGGTCACCATAACAATGGAAGGTGATTTGTTATAGAGGTGATTTAGTCAATTGAACGAAACAATGGTTTATTTCCTAGTATTCAGTCATGTACTGTCACTTGGGTTTCCTGTTAGAACCTAGAAAAGTTTTCTTCATGGCATTAATTGGACAATGTTTCTTAAAAAGAGAATGAAGTAACTAGATCCAAGGAAAAAAGGAATGTCAGTATCATAAATATTCTTCAGCAGAAGAAATATGAATTTGAGGTAATGGAATGGGTGAAAGTTTGCTGTTTATGTCATTTTTGGAACCTCTTCACCCCCATTCTCATTTAATAAATAAGTAGCAAGTCTGTCCTCAACTCTAATCCTACTTTTACTTGGTATTTATAGGGTACCTATCTCCTGAAGCTTAAAGAGGCTTCTCTCTTTATCTATATCACCTCAGACAGTGTTGCTTAGCATAAAGGGGATATTTTCATTCAATCACTAACTTCATTTAACGTTGTAGCAGGAGCTGGGAGCTGTATTTGCTGATGGTGAGTTGGGCTACACACAGGTGGGGGGCAGACGGATAGCTGCCAGGCAGTAGGAGCCATGGGATTAGGATTCTGCATACAGGAGGCAGCCTGCCATTGTGGCTTTTCTTTCCACTGTGATTCAGGGAGATGTTTCTCATCTGCCTGGCACTATCCAGCTGATTTGCCTTCATGACTCTTGATTCCCTGAAATATTTTCTGCTGATTCTCTCTGTCTGGGAGCTCTCTGTATCTATAGGCAAGACAATTTGCTTGAATAATTTTAAATCTTGGACTTGCCCCGCCACTTACTCCTTTTAGACTGTTGTTTGCAGAATTTCATTTCATCAGATTTATTTTCTCTGGGTTTTGCCTCAGAGAAATAGAATTGAATTTAAGAAAATCCTCTCAGGTGCAGGAAGATGGGCTTGGGGATGGAAATATTTCAGTAGTTTCTTCAGAAAGTTTTTGTTGCAGTTTAGTTACCTTTAAAAAGAGATTCATCTGTAATTTCAATGAACTCAAACTCAAATTAATGTCTTGGTTCACTGAAAGATGTTTTTTTTTACCTAAATTTTAAAAAGACATTTTTAGAAAAGTAAAGTAGATTAAAAGCTTGGCATTTACACAATTCTTGGTGCCTTCTTACTAGGGCTACTCAAAGTCTCTTAACTTACCTATCCTTATTCTTTCTTTCCCTTTTCCTGCCTCTCCTTTCTCTCTCTCCTTTTAGAGATTAATTGAACATTATGCTCCTTTACTATAATGAACATACCTCAGAATAGAAAATGAGGCAAAATCTAAGACATTTCTTTTCATCTCTTCCATTTGCATCCATTGCCTTTTATATGTTTAATTTAAATCAAACAATGCCATGGACTATCAAACAGACTTGGATGTGATGTTACAAAATTGTTGGGTATATTGTTTTGATACTAAAAGCAATAAATAGTCATTTTGGCTACTCAGGAGGCAGAGATTGGAAGGATTGTAGTTTCAGTCAACAATGGGTAAAAAAGTGCAAAACTCCATGTTCAATCTGGGCATAATGGCAGGTGTCTGTCATTCTAGCTATGCCAGAGACAAAGATTGAGAGGACTGTGATACCAGGCCAGTCTGAGCAAAAATATTTGAGAAATTCAATTTTTTAAAAAAGTTGGACATGATGGTACATGCCTGTCATTCCTTCTTTGGTGAGAAGCATTAATAGGAGTATCTCAGTCTAGGCCAAACTGCAAAAAGATAGACTGTATCTCAAAATAACAGGAGCAAATTGGACCTGAGGAATGACCAAGTAGTGCCTTCTTAACAAGCATGAAGCTCTGATTTCAAACCCAGTACTAACAATATGAATAAGTGCATGCTTCTGATGAAACTGGATGATCCCAGGCAGAAGACAACTGATCTCTCATCCTCAGCATGACTACAGAAGGAATCCATGGCTGTTGCTCACTCCTCTCAGAGAGAATAAATCTATGGCAAGATGTGTTGTCAGAGTCACTTGCAAAGATAAGGCAGTCAATAACAAAAACTTTTGATAAATTGCTAGCAGTGTAGATTTGGATCAGATCAGGGTGGTAATATGAGTACTTATTTAATCTGTTTGTTTGAATTTGGGTTTGAGAACTATCATAATTTTTGTTGTATGTAAAACACTACATAGCACACAATACACACATATATATGCATACACTTCAATGGAAAAATGACTTTGTCCAAATCTTTATCATTTACAATATATAAAGCCTATATATATGAGTGTGTGTCTGTACACACATATGCACACATATATGCACTATAGTTGTTTAGCAAGATTTGTTTGTAATGGGCTTTGACTTTGTGTATAATGGACTTTGACTTTTTGTATACTGTGTAAACTGACATTTTATAAGAGTTTTGTTACTCGATACATAAACCTAGCCTTTTCTGTTCTTCACATTGTAACATCATGTAAGAATAAGAACATTGATGAGAAGATAATTAGTTAATAAACCTCTTTTTTGTGTACTCTAGGATCCAGGAAGGATTAATAAAGCATCACTGCATAGCAATGCACTTATTACAATGATCTATTTGGGGAAAAGCGTGCACCTTTCTTATGGTGACACAGCTTTCCAAGATGAAATAAAAATTTATCAACAGCACTGTGGTGGAGAAAACCTTTGTGTCTACACAGGCACAGTACTCGAAAAAGGTACACAGAAAATGTGAACTTTTAAAATTGCTTAGGGTTGGTATTATGGATAAGCTGTTTGTTGATGAAATATCAAAATGATTTCAATCACTCTATAAAATTATGTATATCCAGGGATGTATGAACCAGCTGCCTAAAAGTAAATCTAGATTTACTGCTCCATGATTGAAGCTGAAGCAGCAATTACTCTTGCAGATTGTAGAAGAAGGAATTTGAAGTGATTTAACTCAGTAACAGATTAATTTTGGGATAGAGATATATGATCATTAAAATGTTGCACAAATAAACTGTCCCCCAAATTACAAGTTAAGTATTTGGCTTGCCATCATGAATTAGATCATACATTATTCTAAAGAGAAAAGTAGCAGATTGGCAATTTGTTCTTTAGAGGTATGTTGAGATAAAATCACAAACCCAATAAACTCCAGGGTGAATTACACCTAAATAACTTGATGGAAAATTTGGCTAAAAGGCTTTTTAGTACATCTTTGCTTCATTTCATCATAAATTTGTGTTCATCAGCATAAGATAATTTTATGTCCAGTATCAGTTTTCACATATTGTACTGCAATATGTAGTTCAGCAGAGAAGTGATGAAAGGAAGTATATTTACAGGGTTATATTTGTTGCTCCTTTAAGAAACTGTTTAGAAAAGAATTCTACTTTATTCACTCCAAGAAATATTTACATATGAGAGCATCTTGACAGTAACTTAGCAATTAAGGGTAGAGTTCAAGACAAACAAGGAATTATTTTAGTTGTGGCCTTTCTGATTTCATCAATCCCAAACAGTAGCTATTAATGAAAAATTACTAAAGAGTTTGAACTTTATACTTCTTAAGCTTTATACTTCTCAAAAGAAACAAGAAGTAAACATAGCTAGTTTGAAGTTACGTAAAATTATATGATGCTCAGTTAATGCTAGAAACTAATTCTCTCTGTTCATGTATTTGGTAGAAACAATTTACTCTGTCTCTTTTTGTTCTAGCCTTGGTTTGCACTTCCATTCTGTTGATGAGAAAAATGAGAGGAGTTTGATTTGTAATGACTCCTTGAAGTCATCATGTAATTCTGGGCAGAGTAGAGTAGAGCTGGCCCATTGACTGGGTGTGAGCCAGGCTAAGCTCTATGCAGTCCCAGTTGTCTATGCCCAATAGCAGAGGGTTCTACATTTTTATCATATAAGGGATATTAAAATTTTAAGGAGTTTAACATAGAAAGTGGCATAGATATATACTTGTATGTTTCAGAATGAAAGTGGTGGTGTTAAGCACAGGATTTGAAAGTATAACTTTTAGCTATTAATTTAGAGAAGTTATTGAAATTCACTATAATATAAAATTAGAAATACAATGAAAACTGTCCTGAGTCCTAGATCTCTCTTTATTCAACATGTGCGTATGTATTATATATATATATATGTAGTATGTATATGCAGTATATATATGTATATGTACATCTAGTTATGTGTCTATTTGTCTATGTAGATTCATCCACAATTTCTATTCAACTGGTGGAAAATATGATAGCTACAAATTATAAGAACAAAGTTGGATGTGATTCTGGTAGAAGACAAAGGCTGTGTGATAAGCCAAAGCTGAGCAGAGGAGGGCACTGCTGTCAGTGTTACTTGTATGCATATAGTTCTTGAGACCGTGCTAAGGCATTGGACAGTTTGAATAATAGGATCAGATGGGGATTTAAATAATTGAACCTTGTCCATGCAGTAATTTTGTCTTAGCTTGCCCTTGATTGCCAGGGAAGTAATTGTTCAAAATTGAAAAGTTGGTTGTCTCAGAATTTGTCTTGAGGTTCAACAATATTAGAAAATGAACTGAATGCAAACAAATCTGTCCTTTTTTACAAGTCAGAGCCATAGTGACATGTGAATAAGATTTTGGAAGATTATTGTTAAAAATTACAAAGGCCTTTATTGTAGGCTTAGAATAGTAAAGTCATTAAGATATGATCTTTTCCTTGCATAATTAATAATAACAACTTGAAGACTGGCAAATGTACCCTTTTGAGGTATATTGAGCAGCTTTTAGCCAAACTTCCCATCAAGTTGTTCAGGTGTAATTCATCCTAGAATTTATTAGGTTTGTGGTTTTATCTCAACATACCTTTTGAGGTATGTTGAGCTATTATTTTAATATATTTGCATAGGCTTTAAACTGCTGAGTACTACAACTAAAACTTCTGAAACCAGAAATGCTACAAATAGTTGATGATGTTTGCATAGCTAGATAGATTTTAGATTCTAAAACAAAAGTAGATTGCTTAGATACACCTATGAAGCTATTGAATATTTCTGTGAAGAGCACATTTTCATCAGGCACAGGTATGCCCCCTACCTGTAATCCTAGCTACAGCAAACTGAGGACTGCAGTTCAAAGCTAGCCCAGGGCATTAAAGACTGTGTGGAATCTCCAATTAACCACCAGAAAGCTGGAAATGGAGGTGTGACTCAAATGGTAGAGCACTAGCCTTGAGCAAAAAAGCCTCGAGATTAGCCCAGACCCTGAGTTCAAGCCACAGAACCAGAGCACACAGAAACACGCCGACACACACACACACACACACACACACACACACACACACACGTACAAAGAGGAACAGTTTCTTCACAGTCTTTCATTTGTAATATTCACCCTTTCAAAGCAAAACCCCCGTGGCCTCATAGGTTCATAGGTAAGTGAAGAATGAGTGCCTTTTTGTTTTCCTTCTGTACTCATTTTCTTGGATCTTCATCACCTTATCCCCCTGGCATCCATTCCTGCACTCCACATGACTCTCCCCCATGCAGTGCTTCTGTTCTGGTGGCATGACGCTCTCTTTCTTTTCCTTCAGATTTTACCCACTTTTTAGACTCAGATTAAGGCGTTGTGGTTTTCTTAATGTCTACACTACTTGTACCCAAAGGCCCACTGCTCTGTCTGTCTTCAGTGCTACCAGTCCATTGTACCCTGACTTTTGTCTTTATCTATTATATATTGATTTTTTTAGATTTATTCAAGTGTAATGAAATAAAAGGTATAATATCATAAACACCAATTATGTATTTCAGTGTACTATGGCTTGAACTTCAGGCCTTGTGCTTTCATTCTGCTTTCTTGTTCCAGATTGGTACTTGTTCCAGATTGTGCCATGTCTCCAGTTCAGTTTTCTGCTAGGCAATTGCAGACAGTCTCACAGCCTGAACAGATTTCAAACTATGGTCTTCTGCGTCTCAGCTTATTTAGTAGCTATGATTCCAAGCATGATCCATGAGTGGCTAACTTGGAGCTCCATTTCTGATTTCAGAAGTTTTAGTTGAGGTGCTCAGAAGTTTAAAGCCTATGCAAATATGTTTAAGAACCAAACAACAAGAACAAACAAAAACCTCTCAAATCTGAAATACCTTTCATCAATGTAGGTAGTTTTCAAGTCTGCTCCAACTTCCCCCAGGTGCTCTTGTGTTTCTTCTACGTCTGAGTTCCTGTGGGTTGGAATATATGAGTAGGTTGGGCCAGTCCCATGCATTCAGCTTCCAGTTAGCTGAGGTAACACAGAAAGCTTACTGGATGTCATTGTCACCAGCCATATCCTGCTCCATTTCTGCTTACTCCATTGGCCTGTTGCTTTTCTTAATTAGAACTATAGTGTCAGTGAACTTCTGACCTTCCCTGTGAGCTTGCCTTCAAGATTGTTACCTGTTACTGGTAATGCTAGAGGCCAAGAGTTTTTCTTTTTGCTCCAAATCGAGTCAGCAACCACTGTCAGGAAAGCTGTTGGTTAAATCTGTCCTGCCTTGTCCAACTGGAACTCTAGTGACGAAATTGGCAGGTGTGGCAATGAGAGTAGCCCAAGGCAGGAATGTTGCAGATTCTTGGTGCTTTTATCTAAAGTGTAGTAATTTTCATGAGGAAATGTTGTTTACTTTGTTTTAAGTCTTTGGTCTGTTATCAGAATATGCTCGTTTGCTAGCAGCATAGGGAATTGAATCCGGGTCTCTCAAGTGCTAAGCAATGGTGCCACTAATGAACTAACATCCTAGCCCAGTAGTAAGTTTTCAGATGTATGAAATAATTTTGTCTTTCTTACTGACGTATAGCTTCTTGAGAAAAGAAACCACATTCAATTTTCTTAGTTTGTTCATCTAGAATGCCTAAACAATTCTGCCACAATTTTAAATAATGAATAGTTATATTGTACAACGACTACAAAATGATTTCTGATATTGTAGCTTATGAGTAGATTGAGATATTCCCTGCCCCAACCATCCTGTTTTAAAAATTAAAATTCTCCAAGTACACCAGAGTTATTGAATATACAACCGATAAGTGAATAACTAAAATATGGGCCCAAACTTTCTGCTTTCTGTTCCATGTCCTTTCTACTACTCCATTAAGCAGCAACAGATCAAGAGTGAAAGATATTGCTATGTTTTAAAATATAAAAGTGTAAAATATAAAAGCAAAAGAACCTAAAAGCAAAGAGTGCAATTCTTATCTAATAAGCTTAAAAACAAATGAAAGAACAAAGTGGAATTATAGTTGGGTTTGCTCTCCAGCTACCTGGGAATCAAGTGGAAGGGCAGTCAATTCTAAAAGTTTCCTCTACCCATTCTTCCTATGTTTTTTGAGTGCTCTGTCTTCCTGGACTGGGGACTTAGGGAGTTATGAGGTTCATGCTACAACAGAATGGATTACATTACACAAATATGGGGTTAAGGGCGCTGTAATAAAAATAATCAAGCTTAATTTCCAAAGCTAGGTAGGTGGCACACTCCTGTAAAAGTTGTACAATGGAGGCAGGAAGACTGTGAGTTTCAGGCCAGCCAAGGCAAAGTTAGTGTGACTATCAAAAATAAATGCAAACAAAAAAGATGTGGTAAAGTTTAAATTGTAGAGTGCTTGCTTAGCATGAAAAGCCCTGAGTTCAATCTCCAATGTCCCAAACACAACAAAACACAAATAAGTGGTTTCTGGTCACTCTATCATTAAAACAGTTAGATTTTTATCTTCCATCTTCACTTCACCACACACGGACGTTTTTTAGCTTGTTTAATTTCATAACAAAAGATTAAGATGACATAATTACCTTTGTAAAAGGTCTAATTCCTTAGGAAGAAATTCATTTAGGGGGTACAATGTGGTATAATCAGTGTCTCTAGATGATTGTGAAGAAAATAGGTTAAGCAGTAGTTCACTAATAGTTTTGTTGTGGGAGTTGCTTTGCCATTGTTCTGGGACCTGGAAACATGAGCACAAAGGAAGAAAAGCGTCGCCTCTTGTGTATTTAACCAATATCAACACAGCAACATCCCGCTGTACGTTCTCAAGGTTCTCAAGGTGGCATCTGTGGGACCAGCCACAGCAGCTGCCACAGCAGCATCACCTTGGACCCTTGTCAGAATGTAAAAATCTTCCTTAGAAGACTTTTTAGAAGGGTTTCTCAACCCTAGACTTGCTGAATTGGAAACTCAGGGATGAGGCTCAGCAATCTGACTTCTAATGAGTCTTCCAAATGATTCTTATGTGCATTAAAAATTTAAAACCTCTGCTGCAGCCATATTTTAATCGAGTGTAATAAGAGCAATTATAAGAAATATGTGCATAGAGAAGAGGTGAGACTTGATAACTGTGTTATTAGGAGAAGCAGAGGAGCCACTGCAAATGTGCATAAGAAGCAATATTCTGAGTCTTTCTAGAAGATTTCTTGGGTGAGACATTGCTTAAGAAAATTATAGAGGCTTGGGTTGCTTGAAACTATTAAATGCCAAGGATTTTTTATTTACTGCTATGATTTTTGGGTGTGAGTTAGGGAAAGGGGTCTCAAATCTAGGTAGAGCTGAGTATAGCTTAGGAGATAGAATTCCTCTACCTCATTCACACACACATTTAGATCATCTAGAAACTGGCAGTAGAACTTTTTCCAACTTAGGTGATTGTTGATAATTAGCATACCCAAGATAATCAGGCATAGAGCTTGGACATAGTTAAGTGTTAATGTAATGTTAGATATTGTCATTACAAATTAGAGTTTTCTAAAGAATTGGAATATTTATTAAAAATAAAAGTAATAACTGTTTTATGATTAAAATTCTCAAAGTTGGATGCCAGTGGCTCATACCTATAATCAGGAGGCTGAGATCTAGAGGATCATGACACAATGCCAGCCTGAGCAGAAAAATCTGAGATACTCCATTTCCAAAACAGGCAGCAAAAAGCTTGTCTAAAAGCCTAGCTCAAATGTTAGAGCACCAGCCAAGCAAGGCAAGGTTTAGCAAGCATGAGGCCCTGATGATCAAATTCTGGTACTGGACAAAAAAAAAATTGTTCTCAAATAAAAAAGTAATCTAGAGCATAATACTATATTTCTGCAAAAGAAAAATAAAGGTGATTTAGAAGATATTAGTTGAAAGTTCACTAATGTATTTCTTTTTTAAAATTTCAGATACATTTCAATTTATTTCCAAACGCCATCATGGCTTTCCCTTCAGCCTCACCTTTTTCCTGAATGGGATTCAGGTGAATAGGTTAAGCTCCTGCTGTGAATACAAGCACCGGAAAGGTTCAAGACTTGGAGGCAAAAGAGGCTATTTCGGGTTTGTGTGTGTGGAGAAAGCATCTCCTTGCTACAAGTATGAAAAAAAAAGTCCTTGGTAGAGGACAATTTTTAACCACATTTTCCTTATATTTTGCTAATGTATTTGCGAATGTATTTGCTACTGTTATGGAAAATGAGTGTATATAAACCTAAAATATCTAAATCAGAGATGATTTAGTTTAACTCTGAGTGTTTGTATTTCATATGATAAGACATATACTCGATTTCCAGATGTATTCTATAATGTATTCTATAACAGAGACAAAATGTCTCTTTCCTCTACTGCTTTAAATTCCATTTCCCAGGGGAGTTTTTTTGTTTGTTTCATTTTTTTGTTGTCATTGACCTTAATAACTAGTTTGGGAACTAAAACTCCAAACATTTGCTCTCTGTTCAGTATCAGTCTTGTGTGATGGACATCACAGGTTTATGCTCATTGGAAGAGATAGAGTGACCCAATTTTTCATTTGCATCCCCTTAATCTTTGGTCACAAGTATAATAAAATGCATGTGAAGAGATTCATTTTGACTGCTGTTTATACTTCTTTATGATGGACATTGAAATAAGAGTCTTCGCTTAGGGCTTTCTTCCTTTTTTTAATAATCGTTACTGTAGAGTTGAGTTGATATACAGAGGGGACATAGTTACATGAATCAGGTAATTATTAATGAGTACAATTCTTTTTGAACCATGTCTCCCCTTCCATCTCTCTCTCTTGGTTTTTCTTTCCTGTCTCCACCTACAAGATATGAAGTTCATTTTCCACATAGTGTCTAGTGAGTACCACTGTTGTATTTGTTCATCCTTATTCCACTTTTTATATTTTTCTCCCTTACCCTCCCAAATACAAATTAAAACAAAAGGAAAAGAAAACAAAAACAGCAACAATGGCAACTTAAAAATGTCCCTTGCTTCCTCTTGGAGTTCATTTCATAGAACATTATTTTATAGGATCATCTGAACATTGCTTTTGAGCCTTTGCCAACCACTCCTATGAATATCCTCCTTTGGCCTCAATATGTGAATGGCTAGAGCTGTATATAATTTATCATGTCTCAGTGTATGCATATGTGTGTGTGTGTGTGTGTGTGTGTGTGTGTGTGTGTCTGTGTATATCATTCAGTGTACTTACTTGTAGATTTATAGACACATTCTAGTTACTATAAGTGAAGGAACAATGCAACCTATGTTTCTTTGACTCTGGCTTACTTTGCTAAATATAATTTTTTCCAAGTCTTTTTATTTTTCTTTCTGATCAATGGGTAGAATTACGTTGTGTATACATCCCATAATTTCTTGATCCATTCGTCCACCGAGAGCAACTAGGTTGATTTCATATTTTAGCTAGGGTAAACAATGCTGCAATGAACATGGTTGTGCTGGTGGCTTTACTGTGGCCTAGTTTGTGGTTCATTGGCTAAATGTCCAGGAACAGGATTGCTGGGTTATTCTTTTACCTTTAGTCCAAATATTCCTGGAGAAATTGACTAGATCCTAAACTTGAATATAAACCCCATGTCACCACAGAGCTTATTCTAGTAGTGAAGGACAAATAAGATATCAATGAAGTTGTATAGGTCAGAATCTGGTAACAAGCATGAAAAACACAACACAAAGGAGCTGATCTAGACTGGAGATAAAAATTTAGGAATCATTTGAAGTCACAATAGAAGGAAGTTGCTTAGGAACTGAATAGATGAGAATATCTGAGCCATGACTTTCATGTTATTCAGTTTTAGAAATGAGGGTAAGCACTTCTGAAGCCAGCCAGAGGACAAACAGTGTTTGAGAAAGAACCCAGACAGACTGATATCTTGAAAATGAGATAAATGTTTGAAGAATAGGAGGACATTTAATGGAATTCAATATTTGGATAGGCTCAGTAAAATGAAGATGGGGGACTGAGCATTGCTTTTGTAATGTGTTAGTTATTGGTGATCTTGACACAGTAAAATGCTTGGGAAGTAACCTTGATTTGAGTAGGTTTATAGACTAATTGGAGAAGAACTTAGACTGGAGATTGCAAGTAAATTTTAAAAAGAACTTTGATTAATGTGGCAATTAAGTGGCACCCAGAAAGGAAAACCAAGGGGTCAAAGGGATTTTTTAAAAATGTTAAGATGCTATAGATGTAGTTGCTAGTAAATGGTATTGATATTGGTACCACAGAAAAGAAAACAATTATGAAGCATAAAATAAAGTGGGAATGGCCATCTTCTAGTGCTTTAAGTAGCCTAGAAAAGAAAGAATCTAGGGTTCAAATGGAAGTTTAAGCCTTCAGAAGAGGTGGGATTTTTTTTGTTAGGAAGGTAAGGAAAGATGTAGGGGGAGAGAGAATTAAGATGGTGCATGTGTAAAACTAGAAATTCTATGCTGCTTGTTTCTATTATTTGGAGATGCAAACAAGGAAGACTTATCAGATGAGGTTAAGGAGAAAGGATTGGAGGTTTGAGGAGTGAGAATGGGTATGAAAAAGACAAAGCATTCAATGAATGGAAGAGCAAATGGTGTAGAGTAACCTATAGTTGCCCGTCTGTATTTGATGTACACTTGAATTGTCTTCCTTTACCATTTCAGATATGCTGTCTCTTTATTTGTGGGCAAGCCATTAACCACATTCCTTTTTCATTTCCTAGAAAGCTAATGAGTTTATTTATGATCATCCATGTGCAAACACAGTGTCTTTGGGTTAGGGAGGGGAGTTGTTATATAGATTGAAGCTATAAAATTTTAGTCCCAAGTGCTTTCAATGAATGTTTAATAATCATCCTCAAAATCTCATGACATCTACTCTCCTGTTTAACAACGTCTAGTTTCTGTCTAAGTCTCTCTATGATAATTTCAACACTTGGTTCCTTCTACCCTTTTTTTTCTAATTCTCTCTCAATTTAGGAATAGTTGTAACATTAAAGGATGGGGCCAATTACCCTGAACTAGAAGGTGTGGTTTTTATAATACTTCTCAATTTTCTTGCTGTTGTTTGCTTCAAAATCATTTCTTCAAATGAAATCTGTGAGTGCTTGAAGTACTGTCAGTTGATATCTCCATGTTAGAAATTAGGCAGACGGGTTTGCATGGGCAAGGATCAGTGTCTAAGAGTAGAGCACTTCATACTGGCTTGTGCCTTGCCTGAAATGCTTCTGGTTATTGCCGGAACACTAGGCTTGCAGAAGTCTGGCAAGAGTTGAGAAGGACCCCAGAGGAAGCTCATATCATTTATTATATAGTATTTCCTTTGATTGAGGTCACTTTTTTTTTTTTTTGGTCATGGGGCTTGAACTCTGGGCTTGGGCGCTGTTCCTCAGCTCTTCAGCTCAAGGCGAGAGCTCTACCACTAGAGCCACAGCACCACTTCTGGTTTTCTAGTGGTTAATTGGAGAGAAGAATCTCACGGACTTTTCTGCCCGGGCTGGCTTTGAACCGTGATCCTTAGATCTCAGCCTCCTGAGTAGCTAGGATTACAGGCATAACCACTGGCACCCGACTCTTGGGGTAACTTTTATATAGTACCTTTAGTTATTTTGAGCAGTCTATGTTAATTTCTCTAGATCATAATTAAATTAATTTTAATTTATTACAAAAAATACCCATCGATGGAACTTTTACTATGACACGAAGGAAAGTGTGGTAAATATAAAGGAATTTGGAGTTTTCTAAAAATGATTTAAAAGAACAGGAAAAATGGAGCAAAGGTTCTTTCATAATGAGCAGATCCCACATTGGGCTTACCCTTCTATCATGGCACAGTTTGAAGAGGCAGAGCAGTTATTGTCAACTACTAGAGTGAAACATGGGAAGAATTGCCCAAGTTACAATGGGGACTACCTTGAGCTTTAGTCATCAGAATCAACACTTCAAAGCATACTCAGAAGGCAAACAGGTAGTGAGCGGGGAAGAGAGCACAGATGTTACTTACTTTGTCCAATTCCCTTCAGCAGATGGGCAATAAAAGGTCTGTGCTGGCAGTAGGGAGGCATCAAAGCCCTACACAGTCACAACATAAACTAAATATAACAGCATATCACAGGCTCCAAATCGATGGATTTGGTGTTTCCTTTGAGAAGGGAAGAGCAGCGTGAACGGAAGGTAATGCTAGTAGTCATATTCCATGAAGATCTATGATGCTTTTATTCCAAGGAAAGCTATGTACCATGAGCATTATCCTTAATAGTCAGGAAATGTTTATCATGCTTCATATGGATGAGGTAAATATGTTCTTATCATTTCATGTTTCATAGCCTGTGTATGCCAGCCAGTATTGTGAGCTTTAGCTTATGGGACAATATTGAAATGTGAATTTATGGAACTCAGTTCTCATATTTCTTTGGGAGAATTGAGATAGTTTCTGATGCTACAAAGCTAGTGATGGCCAAAGTGCAGTGAAATCTTCAGTTGAAGACATTGCCATTGGATAAGGTTGAGGCAATTTCCAGATTTCATATTGTTTCTGTTCTTCCAGAACTGACAAATCTTGACTGGATTATTTTCCTTTTTCACCTACCTACTGTAAATGACTAGCTACCTATGACCCCATAGCATGGAGAGAAGGGCCCATGCACAGAACTTCAGAAGGAATAAACTGGAGATCAATGACAGCCAGACTCCTCGATGCCCAGTCATGGACAATCTCCAGGCCTTGATATCTATAGAGTGTGTTAGTGTCTGGGGAGGCTATTCTACTATGTTCTCCAATGTTAAGCCCAGCAGGGTGGCATTTGTCTCTATCAGTAGTCTTTATAGACGCTGTACCTGTAATAGAACACTCTGACTGTCCTACTGTGTGAGATGATATAGACTCGCAACATTATGTTGAAATTCAGTTCCCTCACTAGCCTGCTGGGTGACTCTTGACAAAGTTGTGGAATCTTTTGTACCTCAGTTTCCTCACTTGTGCATTGGTGGCAGAAATTCTTAGTGGGCTGTGGTGATAACTGATCCTTTAATGTTTGCAGAATAATCTGCATCAATCTTAGCACAGAAGGAATGTTCAATAATCAAACATTACCAAAAGCATATTTTTAAATTAATATATAGTATCATAGTTAGAATTTTTACTTTATTATTAACTTGAGAAAATAGCTACAAAAGACAATTTGTCATATTTTTACTATAACTGATTAGATATTTTTAATGTCATATGGGTGGCCCAGTACATCTGACTTGAAAGGACCTTATGATATCTACAAATTGTTGTGATTTTGGGGGAACAAAAGCTTATTGCCAGCCAAACCACCAGAAGATTGCAGTCCAGGCTTCAAATGCCTCAAGGCAACAATGGAAGTTCTATCAAAATAAATAAAACAATTATGCAGAATTCTTAAATCTTACAGCAACATTTGACTGTCTATGTTTCCTTAAAAAGTCAGTCATATTATTATGTTCAGTCATTTTATTTAGAATCAATCTTTTATGCAAGTTTTTCACTATTGTACTATTAGAATAATAAATTATGAAAGAGTAATATCCTTCTTCTGATATTTTTATCTCAGCTTCCTTATATTTCTAAGTCTAAATATTCTTTTATTACATAATTCTCATTAAGAACCTGGATGATAATTGGTCTATATCTATCTAATCCTTCTATTTGTCTATCAATATCTTCTATCTAACATCTAACTCTACACCATTTATTTGTTCCTTATTACCTAATTTTTCTATCTACATATCTATCTCAATCATTACACATCACACTCCATATATAGATATTTTTATATCTGTATTAGACTCCCCAAAATGTGTTTTAATGTACAACTTTTAGTTTGATACTCCAATACTTGGCTAATGAGTTCTTTTGTTTTCTTTGTAAAATTATTGTGAGTAAAATTATTATGAATTTGTTATGTTGTATTATAAAATGTTAGCATAAGTATAAAGAAAATAATTTATTCTTTATTAACGTGCACAGTATTGAAATATTTTATCATTTCTTGCTGGAATGATTTGACATAAAGGCCTTGGATTCCCCTGAGCTTGTGTGTATGGGTAAATATTTCGTGTTGTCATTTCTTCCATAGGTGCATTATTGCAATGGGCCTTGACAGAAAACCGCCTTTGGCAAAACCTAGGAAAGAAAAGAACAATGAGAAAAGAGAGGGGAAACAGAGGCACGAGAGGGGGAAGGTGACATCCAGAAGAGATGAGAATACGGCGAGTCAAACTTGCGTCCCAACCATTCATTCAGCTCAAGAGATAAACACGGGCCTCCCAGAAGTGAGAAGTGCAATGGAAGAGATGGAACAAAAATGTAGCTCAGGACAAGACGTTTGGGACGATGACCAGGAAAATATCGTTAAATATGGTAATCAACCACATAGAACTTTCTTAAAAAATTGCTGCTGCCATTGTTCGGTTTAAGTCTTAAGTGTATCATTATCAAGAACTTCAAAAATATCAATTAAATATTTTTAACCGAGTTTTGGCCTTTAGGCAACTTCATGTAAAGAAACTTTTCTTGTTTACTCTGACATTTTTCTTTTCTGTTTTTGTTTTTGTTTGGTGACTGTTACCATAATATTAAAGCCTGGCACTTATTATGTTTTATTTTGTATGTTTTACTTCTATTTATCTTCCTAAATAGGATTTCACCTTTGTCCAGAGTGGTCTCAGACCACAATCCTCCTATCACTGTCTCCAGGGTACCTGAGATTACAAGGTGAACCACTGTGCCTGGCTTGTTCTTTGAGTTATTAGTACCGTCGCCCTTTCCCTCCTCCCCCACCCTTCTCCCTGCCCCATCCCTCCCCGGGCTAGTATCAAACTATGATCTACTTCTCAAGTAGGTGAGATTAGAGATGGGTGCCAGCATGCCCAGCTCTTTTGAATGGAACACTGGTCACTATAGAGGAGGACAGACCTAACCCCATGAAGGTGCTTTCCATGTGGGTAAAGGATCCAGGGGAAAAGGGAAGCTTTAGTCTGTGTTAGTGATAGAACATTTTAACCAATCATAATTTTTGCCTATTTTTTAAGTTTTTGCACACCCTTGCTTGGAGAAATTGATGAATTGCATAGGCTTTATGCAAATCTATGATAGTTGGTAGGGTGCTATAATAGAATGCTCCTGGGCAATAGAGTGCGGTCTTTACATGTGATGACAATAGGCATAGAACTAATGAAGGGAAACCTTGACTTTTCTGTTCTGATTTCCTTTTTGAATTGGTATTGGGCCTGCAACTTAAGAGCCTTGGGCTCTCCTGTGGCCTTTTTCTCTCTAGGCTGGCGTTCTACTACTTGAGCCATAACTCCACTTGCAATTTATTATTTTTTATTTTGTGAGAAACACAGATGTCTCCTGCAAAATAACATATGGGACTTTTCCTTCAGTTCATTCTACGTTTCTCCAATTTTATGCTCTATTTTAATAAAACAACAGTAATTGTGTCCTAATTGCAAACACCTGTACTGTTCAGATTTTAGTCAGGTGCCTCTGTCCAGGTGTACTGCTGTCAAAACTGTGCATATTGTATGTGATTTCTCCTGTCCTATGGCCAGCTCCTTCACCATGCAATCACAATCGCTGTTGCACCTGTGGTTGCTGATGCTCTGTTAAAGACTATTGCTTTTAATAGTGCCACAGGTTTGGATTAAACATTTTATGGATAAAAAATTGAAGCTTAAAGATGTGAAGCACATTGTCCAAGGCCACATAGCTAGAAAATGTCTGAACTGGGTGCTAAACATGTGACTGCCTGACTCCCCTTCTATTCTAGTTCCACTCATATTCTGTCTGACCCCTTGCGTAGCTTGGATTGATGGCAAATATCTACAAAATTACCTATGTATGTGTATTCTGCAGTTAGTCTCAACTCCTCTTATGTAGTCTTCCACAACCCTAGAAAATGACAGCTTAGTTTATAAATTAGATGCAGTAGGAGTGTGGCAACAGTAACTGATAAAACTATAGTTTTAAGAATGTACTATGGGGTTGGGGATGTAGCTCAGTGGTGGAGTGCCTTCCTAGCATTCACAAGGCTAGGGTTTAATCCCCAGGAGCACCAACAAATGTTATTTAAAAGTTGAATGTTGGGCTGGGAAGGTGGCTCAGTGGTAGAGTGTTTGCCTTTCATGCATGAGTCCCTGGGTTCGCTTCCTTAGCACCACATTAGCAGAAAAAGCCAGAAGTGGAGCTATGGCTCAAGTGGTAGAGTGCTACCCTTGAGCTGAAGACCTGAGGGACAGTGCCCACGTCCAGAGTTTAGGCCCCAAGACCAAAAAAAAAAAAGGTTGAATGTTTAATTTCTGGAACTTTCTATTTGATATTTTGCTACTGACATTAGCTGTGGGTAACAGAAACCCAGAAGTGAACCACAGATGGGAAGACTACTATTAATCATGAGTCTATACAAAAATATACAGCATTTGATTCCCATAATGTTGAAGCGAATATTACTGAATGCCCTGTGTAAACTTTACTACAAAATGAATATAATACAGCTTGTACCCTTATATCTTATTTCCTCAAAATCACTTGGAGATTTCTTGATGGAAGTATTTGTTTTATTGCAACATCTTTGTCTTGCAGTTTTATCCTCCTCTTCATAGAGGATACTCAGTAAAGGCTTACTCATTGATAGTTCACTGGGACATGTGTTGTCCTATAACTTGAACAGCATCATTTGGAGAAAAATAATTGGTTTTATCATCCTTTCTTGTTTGTGTCTTGCAATATGAACAAAAATTTCAACTTCTGTTCTTTTTTTCAAACTGTTTTGTTTTTGCCAGTACCTACATTTCTTTTTTTAAAATAAGTTTTTTTATTGTGAAAATACCATTACAATTACATGAGCAAGGCACTGAGTACATTTCTTATCAAGCTTTGTTGCCTACTCCTTTATTTTCCCTCTACTATCCCTGCCCTCCCATCTCCACGACTACACTCCCCCAAACCCCTATCCCTGCCAAAGTTGTAAAGTTCATTTTTCGACATAGCATCTTGTACATCTCTTTTAAGCATATTGAATCTCTTTTGTGAACACTTTGTATGAATTGTGAGTGCCTTCTCCATTATAGTTTTTGATTTTGCTTTTCCTTTTACAAATTCCCCTTTATTCTCTACATTAATGGTGCTTCTTTCCTATGCTTAGGGCATATACTCCTAAATTAAGTTTCTTTTATTGCAGATTGGTGGACAGCTGAAATAAATTACCCAAGAGGCTTCACCAATTAGGAGAAGAGCAAGAATATTTAATGACTAAAACACACACAAATTGGGAAATCTTTATTTTCCCTGTAATTTTTTTAAAGTATAATTATTTATTTGCTTAATTGGTTCTGCATGAGATCCTTTTGCTCTTTATCTTTGGCATGTTGTCACTTCAAGATGTTTTAGCTTTTTGGAGGAAAAAAGGGGAACAATTAAATATGAAAGGTGAAGAATTATAACCACAAGGGACAGTTGAAGTATATCGAATATGACAGTTTCCTTTTCTTGCTGCAGATTTGTTGTACCTCTTTAGGGAATGAAGTAAATTTGTGATGGTGATAGGAATGCCCTATTTTTAAGGACTCAAAAATATAAATGCATTGTAATTATTTCATTTATACATTTATGCATGTATACATTTATACACATATGGCTTAAATTCTAGCCTAGCTGTAGACACCTTAATGCTTCTTCTTAGTGTCCATTTTGTTCTCAAAAAAGTCCTATTCTCAGTGTTTCTTCTGAGGTCCTTTAGTCTTAATTGAATTTTTCCACTTCACTATTCATTAACTTGATATCCAAATATTTTGAACATTCTTCATATGAAATATGACCTCACTGGGTCTCCAAATTAACTTTCATTATTATAATCCTGTTCTATTCATTTTTAATTTACTTCTAATTTATTGTCTTCTATTTAGTTCTTACCTTCCCATTTTGGTCATTGTGGAAGATGTTCATTTGAAAATGAGCTTTTATTAGGTTTCATCTTTGCCATTTAGAGTATCATTTCTTCTGTTCTCTTACATATGTATCTGACTGCCATCTCTGATCACATACTGTTAGTTTTCCATGTTCACTAATTGTACAAAAAAAAAGATGAAAAAGCAACAGCAGCAATAAAGAAAGTTCCAAAGAGAGCGTCATGGAGTCAAAGTTCTTGTTAAAGTGAAATAGGTTTATCTGGGATTCTATTTGCATTCTTACAGTGGAGATTTTCTTTCTTCAGAATATGAAGAAGATTTTGAAGCAGATGAGGAGCAACAGGCTGAGACAGCTAATACAGAAGTACAGGCTGATGATCAAATGAATGGAGTATCAAAGTCACCCTCAGATGATGAAAAAGATAATTTAGACCCTGAAAAGGAGAGCGATATCTTGTCACAGAGGGCACCTGAGATTGAAGACAATGTGAAAGATGAGGATAATGGATACTCAGAGAGCGAATGGGAAGAGGATAAAAAAGGCGAGTAGAGCAGTGTATCCTATGACCTGGATGCTTAGTGAGCCTTCTCCTTTTCTTTCTTCTATATTTAAATTTTTTAAGGAATGTTCAGAGCATGATTACCTAATGAGAGACTAAACCTTCCATACACATACTACCAAGCCATTTCTTAATAATTTCACTTTTTAAAATTTCCTCTAAAATATTAGCTAATGTATATAACACAACTTTAATTTGAAAGTTACTGTATATTTGAATTCCATGGTTTTCCTTCTAAGACACACATACCCACACACATTTCCATGGCAACACGTCTGTACTATTTAAAGATAAAAATAAAATTAAAGAAAGAATGAATGAAAAGTAGTGCCTATGTACTCGAATGAAAGAGTTCTACATTTAGTTATTTTGATTTTTTCCCCTTTAATAAACATTAAACAAAGGATTCTGGCATATTAGTTTTATGAAAAATTTTTATGGCTTCCTTGTAATTATTCAGCCTAAAATGTTTCTGAATGTTCACAGGAAAATATAGAACTTTTCAGGTAGAGAAACTTTATTATCTGAAACAAACCTGAATTTAAGATTTTTTAGAAGGTCTCAATTCATCTAAATTATGTCCAATGAAAGAATGAACCTACTTTCTGCTTTGTTCTATAAGAGGATTTGGCCAAAGCTATATGTATTTTTTTTACTTAATCAAAATCTTCTCTCATTATCTTCTGAGCTTTCACTAGTAATAACAACAAACTATTCTATACTGAAGTATGTATATGTCTTTACAATTTGCAACTTAACTAGGGAATGAAGTCAGCTTATTAAGGTGCTTTTCTGAGTTGTCTGTATTTTTTCCATTCTTTTCACCTCTCAAAAATTTCTTGTCTATAAAATCTTATAATTTTGAATTCAGGAAGTAGGATAAGATAAATAGGAAGAAATTAATCAAATAATCATGGAAGCCTATATTTAGTTTGTAGTTCCATTTTCTTTAAGAAAGAATTCAAAATATCACAAATACCTGGGTGTTGGTGGCTCACACCTGCAATCTTAGTTGCTCACAAGGCTGAGATCAGAAGATTGTAGTTTGAAGCAGGCCTAGGCAGTGGTTCAAAGCCAGTCAGCTGGTGCAGGAAAGTTTGTGAGATTCTTATCTCCAATTAACTAGTATAAAACTGGGAGTGAGCTGTAGCTCAAGTAGTAGAGCACTCATCCTGAGCAAAATAGAATTCAAGACCCAGTGCCAGCACACACACAAAAATTATGCATAGTTACTTGTGTATATATATATATATTTATGTATATACAAAACAATATGAAAAGGCCAAATTATTTAGAGTAAAAGGGAAAACAATTTGGCTACAAATCCCAAGTGCAATTATAACTATGTAATTAAAACTTTAATCCTTGATTCCTGATGGATATGTAGAGTTAAACACAATTTGAAAAAAATTGAAGTTTAAATGTGAGTAAATTTTAAAATATTTAAATTCATTTTTATAGTTAAATGACTACTTAACAATTGATAGACATTTAAGTATTTTTTCACACCTTGAAACAAGTCTTTTCTAATTTCTGTTATTTACATTTTATCTTTCTTACATTAAACATAACTATATGAAAACTCAAATTGAATGTGAATATTAAAGTTCATATTCATATGTGATGTACAGTTAAGGAATTTAGTAGGAAAATGATGTCATTTGAGTCAATAATTTTAAGGAAATCATCTAGGTGATTAGAGCTTGGAAAATAATTGAAAATGTATTTGTATTTTAATATAATTTGTTCAAAACAAAAATGGTCTCAATGTTTTTTACTTTTTTTTTATTGTGAAAATACCATAGACAGGGGTTACAATTACATGGGCAAGGTAATGAGTGTGTTTCTTATCAAGCATTGTTGCCTCCTCCTTTGTTTCTCCTTCCTATCCCTTCCCACCTCCCACCCCCTCATCAAAGTTATAAAGTTTATTTTTGACATAGCGTCTTGTACATCTCATTGTTGCAATGGGTCCACCTGTATCCCTGTTTAAACAATTTTTCTTTCCCTTCCCCTCCACAAATTATACCAATATACCAACATCAAATACAGTGAAAACAGGGCTTATTTCTATCATAGTGGTGGAAAATTATCAAATTGCCAATTTCATTGACCCCAAAAACTTTGGCTATCAAAGTTTGTCTGAGAATTTATTTTGTATAATCACTGTGCTTTGTGGGGATCAAGTGGATTTTTTTCACGACAGAATAATGCTTTTTTATAAATTCAAAGAAAGAAGGACGTAGATAACACTTGGATCTACCTTGGAGGGAAAGAATTAATCATTTATATTTGTAATTACTGAATAACTGATAGCAGTAGGTAGGCTTTCACAGTGAATAGTGCTTGCATATAACTAGTTGGAAGCCTATGTTTGGCAAAGCTGAAATAACTGATAATGCAATAGGTCACGTAAGTGTTACTGTTTCAAATAATGAGCTATGTGCTAAGCCCTGTGGTAAATATTTTCTTGAGCTATTTACTTTCTACAACCTTAAAAGTCAGCTACTTTTTCTGTTTATCCACATTTCACAAATAATTGTAAACTTGAAAATAGTGAAGGTAAACCATTCTCAAAGCTACAGAGTCAGAAAGTAGCTGAACCAAGATACAAATATTACTCAACTTCAGAGCTGGCGTTTTAGACTTTTCTTCTCTGTAGATGGATTTCCCTTTTTATTCTGTGTATTTTGCCAAGTTATGCCTTATCCTTCTGTCAGAAACTGTCCCATTTCAGCAGCCTCAAGAGTTGCTTTGATTAATGAAGCACTGTTGTTCAGTAGTGTACCTTTTCACTCAATTCATGTGTGTTAAAATTTCTCCCTCAAATTAATTACATGTGTTAATTATACTATTAAAATAAAGATTGAGTTTATTTTTGTTCTTCCTAAAAAATATTGTGTAATTTTTTACTCTCTTGATTATTAACACCAGGAAGTCTAAAGTGTTTTGGTTAGTGTTATGGTGTAACTAGCTATATTTAAGTTAAAAGATAATTATTGGAATTTGTTTTAAACAATTGTATAATATGTGATACAGATACAAACCATACAACATTTTAATTATGGCCGTATTAAGAGCTCTAAGAACATATAGCTTATGCATAACTGTTGGGAAATTTAAGAGGCAGCAATTAAATTGCTAGCTTGTTTATCACTTCAAAAAGGACATTATCCAGTTTCTTTGTAAGGTCTCTTTTGCATCTTAGGTATTTGAATTGAAGATTTTTTATTATTCTAAAACAAAATCTCTTTTTTATTGGTATTGTCTCTTCACTTCAGGCTTTCCTCTTTTCCAGCCCTTTATTCTAATAACCTGCCCTTGTGCAATTTCAAAAACATACCTGTTAGCATGTGAAGTCTCAGAATTCAAGATTCCATCCAGCTAATAAGGGGCATGTATCAAGAATGATAATGACATGATAGATTTCTTCAAACACTGTTGAAAAGATGTCATTTCATCTTCAAAAGCGTAAGAGGCATATTGTGGCCACTGAATCCCAGACACCAGTACATCCTTTTTATTGACATGATTAAGAATCTTGCTGTTAGTATTTGGATGTGTTTCATTTGAACCTGCCTGCACCTGTTCCCAGAGGGCAAACAATTGCCCAGGCTGTCACTCTTGTGACAAGTCAGCCCCATTTAAACTGCCAGCTAACAACAGGGCCGGCCTGCCTTGATGAATGCACTGTGCTGAGCAGCCTGTGAGTGATAGAGTGCCAGGGACCGAAAGCTGACTAAGAGAGAGCCCTAGTTTAGGAATGATGGGTGAGACTTCCTATCATTTAAAAAGAATGACAGCCTCCTTTCTCTGCATTTATGTTGCCAAGCCCAGACATTAATTTACCAGTTGAAAATGTATTGTCATTGATGAATGTTGTATGATTGGGAGTGAGGGGAATATCATGTCACTAAGAATATACTTTTATGGACAGTTTGGACAACAGGGCCTATGAGTAAGGGATAAAAACTAAATAACTCCTAGGAGTGAGGAGAAAAAAGTCAGAGACATAGTAAGAGAGAGATAGAGACAGAGATACAGAATGGTTTCCCACAATATGAACAAAGCAAGATTTGAAGCCATTTTTTTCTACTAAGAAATGATGATTTTAATTATTTCATTGTGCTATTTTTCAGTCTGTTGAAGAAATAGCCCTCAGAGACAAATTACTAGTCAAAAACATTCTATTTACTTTCTGACTTACTTCAGGGATCTCACTGGTTTTGTGTGTTTTGTTTTATCCTGGGAATGAGACACATGGTAACTTGTTCTCCTATGTTGAAATTATTATGTACTACGAAACCATACCCCTCAGATATGGGTATAACTTTTCTGTTCCTTGGGCCAGGGAGAATTATAAGAAGATTACTGGCAACTTTTGACAAAGATTGCATGTAATTTTTCACACAGTAAACCCTATTTTTTCTGAATGTTAAGAATTAGCCAATTTATAGTCATCTCTGGATTGCTGAAGTCACAGCACCAAAGAGATACTTAAATGTAGCATTATTTTACATAAAAATAGTTGATGCGAATTATTTCTCTGCTTTGAATCTGCCCTGTACATAGCACTACCTGAACACTCAGGAAATTCTGTGATTGATAAATGTGTAAAGATTTATGCAGCAATATATAACACAAGATTTCATTCTAATCACAGTATTTTATTATACATTTTAATAGTTAGAATGTGCAATTGGAGTACATGTAAATAAAACTTTGTTTTCTTTTCTTCCTGTGAAAGTTGTGTTTATCTGTGGCTATCTACCTTTATACAGTAAGGTATAGATTTGTCTCCTTAGTGAATTGAACCATCATAACAATTACCTGCTATAGGAAATATGATCTCTCTGATATGACAAATGGCAACTTACTGTTCATACATGGAAGTTCATTTCACCAAGAACATATTCATTATACAATTGGTTTGTCTAAAATACTGTCTAATTAGGTATTATTTTATATGAATAGATTGAATA